GATTTCTGCTATAGACAACAGTGGGACAGGGGAAGAGGCCGTTTGGTGCGGCTTCAAAGCTCATGACGTCAGTTCGCTCCATGGACAGTTAATGCTTTCGCATTAATAAATAAAAGAAGAGTCCGCTTCCTGGAATTGAACCTGGAGCCTCTGCGCGACAGCCAAGCACAGTAACCATTCAGCCACGCACGCGCTCGCTCGGCGACGTGCGTGGCATTTCTCCCCCCCTTCCCTCCCCCCCTCTAAGCGCACATTGTCTCTATGCGACGTGCTGGGAAAAAAACAGCAAAACAAACAAAAAGAATAGCAAACTACGGAGGCTTGTAAAACACTGTACTATCAAGCGCAGACGGAAACACATTTCATAATCCTATCGAGCGTAGTACCTCTTGAGGTGCACGACATGAACGACTTACAGTCACGAAGGGTGACATGATGAAGTCCATGTTCCGCCGGGCGTCGCCTCGTAGTTCAGGTCCCCGAGTCGACGAAGCATTTTGTTGGGTCCGAAGTACCATTTTAACAGCCCGCTGAGACTGCAGCGGCGAATAGTAGGTGTCCACACCCACACTCTGTCTTCAAGCTGAAAGTGGACGTCGTGACAACGAACGCTGTAGCGGCCAGCGTCAACACGTTGCTAGTCTTGGATCCAGATTTAGGCGAGCTGGCAGACCTCTTCCTCTTGTTGCACAACCACCTGGGCGTCGTCACTCTCGTCGCCAGCTGGCTCGTGAGGTAGCATGGTGTCAAGCATCGTGGTCAAAAGTCAAAGTCAAGTTTGGGGGTTTTACGTTCCCAACCAACGACGGGCATCTGGCACGCCCCAGCAGAGGACTGAGGATTAATTTCTACCACCTGGGGATCTTTTGATGTGCAACCGAAAGCTCAGTTACATGGCGCCTTCTCCGCAATAAGCCTCCGTCAGATTGCGGGCACCTCGGCCGGGATTCGAACCCGCCACATGGGGATCCGGAGGCCAGCGCTCTCGCCTCGGAGCCACCGAGGCGGCTCAAGCATCGTGGTCACCTCACAACCATGAACCAGCTAAAAATGGTGTAACACCAGTGGTCTCTTGAACCGCTGTGTTGTAGGCAAACATGACATACAGCAGGACCTCGTCCCATGTCTTGTGTTCCATGCCAAAGTGCATAAACACCATGCCAGCGATGGTCTTGTTAGGCATTCCGTCAAAAAAAAAAAAAAATCCCGAACGAAGCGTCGATAGTAAACACAAAGTCCAAGGAATCTTCGCACGGCCTTCTCGTCTGTCGGCGCTGGAAATGCCGCGGCGACACAAGTCTTCTATGGGTCTGGGCAAACGTCATCGTTGCTAATCATGTGGCCTAGGAACTTCAGTTCGTCATAGGCGAACCGAGACTTTGATGGCTTGAGGGCGAGTCCGGCGGCTCGTATGGCTTGGAGAACAGCTCGGAGTCGTCGCAAGTGCTCGTTGAAGTCGCCTGAAAACATTACGACGTCGTCAAAGTAGACGAGACAGCTCTGCCACTTCAGCCCTGCCAGCACGGTGTCCATGACACGCTGGAAAGTTGTTGGCGCCGTGTGTAGTCCGAAGGGCACCTTGAACTCATATAGTCCGTCCAGCGTGACGAAAGCTGTCTTCTCTGAATCCTGTTCGTCGACTTCGATCTGCCAGTAGCCGCTCTTCAGGTCCATCGATGAAAAGTATCGAAAGTGGTGCAGCCGGCCTGGCGTGTCGTCAATGCGGGGGAGTGGATAGATATCTTTCTTCGTCACCGCGTTCAGCCGCCGGTAGTCCACGCAGAACCGAAGCATTCTATCATTTTTCTTAACCAGTACAACTGGAGGGGCCCACGGGCTGCTTGAAAGCTAGATTATGTCGTCGTTCAGCATCTCTTGAACTTGCTCCTGGATTACCTCCATTTCTTTTATGGAGAATCTGTACAGCGATAGATGCACAGGAAGCGCGTCGTCCTTGGTAACGATGCAATGCTTTGCAATGGCACCTTGGCACACCTTCGTCGACGTCGCAAAGCAGTCACGGTATTCGGCGAGGAGGTTAATCAGCTGCCGTCGTTTTGAGCCCAAAAGCTTAGAGTCAATGTCGAGCTGTGCTGGCGCATACTGCCTTGCTGGGATGGTGAGGATTCTTCAGTAATCATGGTGATTTCGGCAGAGTTCCTCGGCATGGCCCACAGCTGCACCTTTCGTGAGGTGTTGCAATTCTTGTTGAAAGTTTATCACGAGGACCACAGTGCGCCTATCCTGAAGTTCAGCTACTCCTATTACGAAGCCTATTCCTCTTCTCAGAAGCAATTGAAGGTTGCCTTCCAGAACAACTCCGCTGGAGGTAGCTGCATCGGGCACAATGGGTGCAACACTTGATCGGTGCCGCAGGTTCATGTGGTCGGAGGCGGCAAAAGAGCCTCTCACTCAAAGCTGAGTAGTCTGCTCCAGTGTCCACGAGTGCTGACGCGTCATGGCTGTTGATAACAACGTTTAGGTTGTTGGACACCGTTGCAAGAGCATCGTTGCAATCATGGCATCAGGAGAGTGGAAGCGCTCCAGCGTTCTTGGAGGCTCTTTACTTCGGTCGTCTGCGGCAACGCCACCTCCAGGCGACGCAGGGGAGACAGGCTCTCTCGGCGGGGTCGTGGTGCTGGAGACACTGAACATATTGGCAATGGTGAGCGGGATTCACGTTGGAGAGGCGGTGCTGAGGATGGCGAATGTCGGAGGTACTTCTCAATGTCGCGAGGGCGTTCGCTGTACCTTGGGCGCGGGTCGTTCGGGTGGAACCCGCGCAGCCCCCGTTGTCGGTAGGGGTCTCGACGGTAAATGTGGTCAGCTTCACCGCAGCGATAGCAGATGGGGCGTCTATCCGCTGTCCTCTATACGTCCGTTTGCCTCGGTGCTGGTAGGTCTTGGCGGTAGTACTGATGTCGTTCGTCGTGGCGTCAAAGGTACGCCCGCATTGGTGAGTCCTGTCGTGGCGCCACCGGGTAATGCATTCTGCTGCTGGCGGCAGTTTTCGGGCTATTGCGGCATAACGTGCTCTGCGGCATGGGTAGTTAACGAGACTCAGCAAAGCGTTAAAAACAATCGTACGCAATTCCGCATATGCCTCCTGGAGATGGCAGTACAGGTGGCTGCAGATTTGCCTCTACCAGAATCCGAGCCACAGGCATTCGCTTCTTGCGCACCCGACATCGTCATGCAGCAGGAGCCCGTGGACGTGCCTTCAGCTGCGGCTAGTTCTACAAGCGATGCCTACTTGTGCCTCAACGACAAGGGCCACATGTAGGGCGTCCCGTTGCGTGTGCACCATGTAAACCGATGGTGACGTGTCATGTGCTCTCTTAGCTTCTCTTTTTTTTTTTTTTTTTTTCTTTTCGGGTAAAGTTTGGTTGCAAGTCTAGCTGCTGGCCCATCGCGAGCGTTCCTTTCAAGGCCCTCGTTTTTTGTAGCAGTTATTCCCATATTTTGCTGCATCACTGTAGCATGAGATTGTGAGATATTTTTTTTTTTGCTTTTGCTTTTTTTGGGGTCAGTTGTCAACTCTGTCACTTTTGTAACTATCACTTTACTGACTGTATCTTAATCTACTGCAATCTGGTTTCACTTCTCTGTGTTTGTTACAACGGTAGCTGTAAGTGCCCCTTTTCAGCTAGAAAATGCTTGCGTACAAACACAAAACCCTTTTACAGCAAAGGCACTGCTCTCCCTCTTCCAATTGTTCCCCACACATGGCAAGGCTCTCTTCGCTCCCCCCTTCCCTTCCCCCTTTAGGCCATTGCTGTTCTCGCTCTGGCGATGCTCTCCCTTCCTCCCCCTTCTACCCTCCAGCAGCCGCCGTTGCGAAATACCCACGTGGTCGCACTGTGCGGACACACTCCCTCGCCTACCCACTGTCGCCACCCTGGCTCCTTTCTTGCATACTCTCCCTGCCTTTACAGAACAGCTCACGTGCATAATTTCGCTTCTTCCACTGCAGGCGCATTCACAAGGCGCCCCCGTTTTGGAAAAGTATTTCAGCCAACAAAGAAGCACGTCTCTGTATTCTTTTCCAACCCATACAACATGTCGCAGAATCGTTCCAGCGAAACACAGATCTCATGAATTCCACTGAAAGCAAAGAATTGATAGCAAATATAGTATAGCACACTAGCTGAAGGCAAACCTCCTTCTGCATGCCTTTCCACAATGCAGCAGCTACTGCTGTCAATCGCAGCACACTGTCTGTGGTCATTCGCAATTTTTTAATGCGAAAGCATTAACTGCCCCATGGAGCGAACCAATATCATCAGTTTTTGAAGCCGTGCCAAACGGCACCTTCCCTTTCCCAATGGAGCGAAGCCTGTCGTCTGTAGCAGAAATGTAATGCATAGGCTCCCACTGGCTGGCGCGCGTCACAGTTTCAAGGAACGAGGCTCCCATTGGCTCTTGTGCAGCGTAATTCCAAGGAATGCCACCAGAGAAGCCTCCTCCATGGCGGTAGTGCACGCAGCAGCCAGGCTGCCGCAAAGAGGTGCGGCCGTGGCTGCAGAGCCTGCACGGGCAAACTCTGGAGAGGCTGCACGGCCGAGCTCAGCGCGGCGTGGTCACTTCACGAGTGTGTGCACTCGGCCGTCGGCTACTACCTCGGCAGTAGCAAAACGTGGCCATCCATGCCCGTACACCGATTAAGGAAGTGGAACTAAGGGAGTGGAAGAACAACATTCATGCTTTCGTATTCACAACTCGTAAAAGGTGTTTAGGTGTCCTCGGAATTTTTCGTTCCCTTTTTTTACAGCTGAATGATGAGATGTAATGCACCTCTTGGAAGCCCTTCAAGTAAACAAAAATGAGGGAAAGAGTGTTAAAATTGCACCTACTTCTTCGTAGTTGCTACCCCTCTTAAATCTACACTCCCTACTGTTCTTTCGTAGTGAGCAGTTGCAATGCGGACGGTCGCATTCAAATGCAGACATGTGATCTAGCCTCCAACAACGACGCATCTCTAGCTAAGAAAGAGAGCGCACCTTGTTCCCCTCGTAAAGGAAGACGTCCCAGATGTAGAGGTACGTCTCAGCTGGGATGGTGTCCACAAAGACGGTGAGGAACCAGTTGAAGGTGAACAGAGACAGGTCCACCTTGTTGCTCTCCAAGTGCGCGTAGAGGCGCGGCAGCTTCTCGATCATCAGGTCCTTTAGCACCCGCTGCGACGGGAAAAACAACAGACCTTTTTGTCAGCGTTGCACGAGGGCACCGTGCGACCAAACTTGAATCCCTCGACCGAAACGGGTCGAAGCGAATGGAGACAAGCTGCACGGTAACACAGCAAGTCTATGTCATCGTAAGGAACATACAGCATTCTAAGCCAGTGGCTCCCATACTTGCCAATCTCGAGGAATCCCTACCTGCATTGACCGAAAGCCAAGGAAACCTTTTGGGCTTCGGCATTGAAACAATAAAGCAGTACAGAAGCTTACCGACACTGTAAACAACAAATGCAGATAATAGGGAGCATTTGGTACATAGTTATGAATCAATCGCTAGCCCAAATCTGCTGAAACAGTACCTAAATATGCTTTACTTAGAGCAGGAATCGTCAAGGAAATTTGGGAGCTTTGGGGAAACCGTGAAAGTAGTGGGAGTCCCCTAGGTTCCTAGGAACTTAGTTCCAGAATCCATGCCATGCACTACCAACAAGTTTTAATAATGCTAATTCCAGATAAATATTGTGTACAGCACTTTTGCAACATACAGTCTAGTAACCTGTGCACTACAGTAAGGCCCCTGACAGGACGAATCGGGTAAAACATAAAACGACAGGCAAGCAAAGCACTGGCTATCTTAGATACTTGCAAATAAGTTGACATATTTTTTTCAGCACAGTCTTTTCAAATTATAGCTATAAAAAAAGGTTGGCTTACAATAGTGAGCACAATTTGTGGCACCCATCGAGCCAACATTTGTCGTGTGAAGCTTAAAGGCCTACGACCAGACTCGAAATTCTGCAAGGCAGAAGATCCTCCTCACCATGGGGGAGGAGGAAACAGGCAACAGTGGACAGGGTAGAAGGGAAGAGAGGAGGAAGCGAGGGAAACGCGAAAAGTGCGAACTGGTCATCAGTCTTCAAGTGCTTTGTAACAGCACTCTGGTGCAAAGCAGTGAAGCTTGATGCACGTGTGATGGTGCGAAGCGGAGAAGCTTGACACGAGAGCGCTGGTAGTGTGCAGCGGAGCTTGACATGAGAAATTGGGAATTCTGAAGGCATTATATTTGCAATTTCAGAATATTAAAAAAGAACTAGAATATTTTAACAATAAAAGTGTGCAGCGAATCGAATCGGATAGCCCCTAAATTCTCAATACCTAACGCTTGGGGGGCTTTTTGGGAACCTTCGAAAAAAAGCGGTATCGGGTGATAATGAAGACGAAAGGATAAATAAACCCCATTATCTTGCATATAGATTCACCTCTATAGTAGAGATAAGGGTTGTCTGAATACTGCTTCTGAATCGAACAGCTCAGTATGTTAAGTCTAGTTTCAAAATTGTAAAGGGAGTCAGTATGTAGTGGCTTTCCTTTCCGATAACATAGCATTATTCGATTTGATTTACTTTTTGTACACCCCTACTAAAAAGTGAAAAATTGCTGGGGATAATAAAAATAAATGTTTGAATATAGGCCAACTGTCGTAAGTTCAACTGAATGGGATTTGAACAAACATTTATTTTGCAGCATGCCGAGTCACCCTAGCTAAAGCTTGCTTCTTGATTGCCCCAGCCACATCATTGTCCAATATTCTAGAATCTAATGCTTAAAAGTAGTAACAATTACACTGCACCACCACAGCAAGCTTCACCACTTTGCACCGGCATGCTAGGAGAAGCAGCTGGTGCAGGGGAGCATCTTGGTTAGCTCAGGGGGTTAGAAATGTTGCTCACTATTACAAGGGCAACCCTAATTTTAAAAAACACCTTTAAAACAAAAAAAAAGTAACATCCACCAAAATTTTAATAAACATGCTAATTGCCAGTGAAAAAGGTATACCTTTTATTTTAACATACAAAAAGGGTGTCACACAAGCATAGTTCTTCTTCACGTCATGTTATATAGAACAAGCATCGCACAGAGGTGTGATGTTTCTTGCAGGGTGTCGAACCGGAACCGAACCGAACCAAAAACAGGAACAGAACCGTTATTTTTAGCCGAACCGGAACTGAACCGAACTGAAATCTTCGCCGCCATCTTGGAACTGAACCGGAACTGAACCGGAAAAAAATATAACGGTAACCGGTTTAAAACGGTTCACGGTATTTTTTTTTGTTAGTATTACAAATTTATTATTTGGGAATAAAAAATTGGCACGTGTATTCCTCTATGTATTGATCAAATCGTCATATACAGAATTGCAATGTAGAATAAATCCTGGTTTTTTGCGGCGCTTTCTTATTGGCACTATGATTAGCCATGTGTCACATTGTCACGTGACGTCATGATGTCAAGACATGCTGTCAAGTAATGTCACATCACGTGACCCCGTGACTTCACGTGACTCACCGCGTTAAGTCGATTCGAATTGAGGACGTCGCTAGATCTATTAACGTTGTTGATACCGTGACGTCACATGACATCACAACTTCGCACTGAGAGTCACGTGACACCATGATGTACCCGATTGTCATGATCCCGAGTCAAATGCTCTGGTTCATGACAACCAGTATCGCCAAACATTCGGGTAACGGCTCGTGTTCAACTCAAAGATTATGATGGGCCCGAGTCCCACTAGAGCTAGAAGCAGAAGCAAACGAAAGCGACAAGCCTCAGACACCTGCAGCATGTTCGCGATGGTACCTTTATACGGCTTTGAGTTGTTCGGTGCTCGCGAAGTTAGCACGAGTGTTTACAAGCCTGCAAATGGTACCATCGTGTGCATGATACTCGTGTTTGAGCATAGCCTTCTTTATTCTACAAAGCCTGTCAAATCGCGAAATACTCTGGTTTAAGGCTAGCCGCTGTCGTTTGTTTCTGTTTGTCGCTTTAGTGGGGCTCGGGCATTACAGGCCAACTAAAATTATATCTGAAGATAAGCCCATGCTCTCTGCTTTGCCAACCCTGCGTATGACTATGATAAACACTGACGGTGTATATATTAGGATCAGATCACGTGGCTGATAGTTCAAATTGTGAGTTGAGGAGGGGAAAGGCTGTTTCATTTCTTTCTTTCGACTGTCTGCCATTTCGCGGAGGGGCAAACTAATGGATGCTTTTGCAAGTTATCAACGTCAGGGATTACAACTTAGCGGTATTTATTGAACTCAAGGTAAAAAAAAAAAATGCTGCACGACCCATTTTACAAGTATGCACACCATTTAGGCTCCCAAACATGTTTTCGTTATTGCTGAACTGCCTCAGAAAGTTGTCCCGAGAATAGAAGTGTTAAAGGGTCTAAATGTGACGTATTAGTCCGACGTTACATGGAACTATTAGTGTGTACGGGAGGGATACCTGAAAAGAAAGTTCCTAGTGGCCTCACGGGGATAGCCGAACGTTGGCAGCCGCTCTAAGTCTCACAGGAGTGTCGTTCTCAAGTTCTCCAAGTTTCGACGGCCCTGTATTTTGTTTAACCTTCACAGTTTGGTGCAAAGTTAAAGCAAGGAAGAATTACTGTTAACAAGTGAGACAAATATAATTGTCGAATGAGCACCACCCAATACGGAGCAGGCAATCCCTGAGGAATAAAAAGTATCTTGAGGAGCAACTAAAAAAAAAAAGGGAGTGGGGAGGGGGGTAGTTTTAAAGCATACTGTGTCGTAAAGATTCCTCTGCCCCACATTTTCGGCGCAGACTAGAAAGCGTGGCCTGGAAACGATAGTGACAGATGGGTAGTTGGTACAACTTTTATTTGTAAAAACACTCTTGCCAGAAAGCACGTTTTCGTCGTGCCAGATACTCGCGCCGTGCCTAACGACGATGTACCAACAAGAAAAATCTGTGCCTCTCAAATACATAGCTTGCACTGAGCGCGAAACTTTTGCAGCCTGCATTTTTCAAACCGGATTTGATTTTCTCAGCAAGAACAGCTCGCAATGACAACCAGTATCTAGTGCGATTACGTCACGTGCAAACCATGTTAAATACTTCAGCTTTCTGGTGAAGTGCGACGTTCGCAACACCAGCAGTAGACGTCCAATGTGTAAAGTTGTGTAGTATTTATAGCAGTCTCGCGATGATATACGGCAGCCTAATGAAATGTTGGAGCACACGACTGATAAAGAACAGAGTCGTGAAGTAAGGTCTCAAAACAAGTGCACGTAAAACCTAAGATAACATTAGCCTCCCGAGGTAGTATCTCGCGACGTTTCGAGCTGAGGCAAGCTGATGTCCAAAAGTGATTTATATTAGGATTCTAAAAAATCTTCGTTTGCCCTGCGCGGAATCTATGTTTAATTAGGAATATCATTTTATGCATTTCTATGCATTTCTTTTTGCAGTAAAGCGTTGTGTAAGGGATTATTTAGAAAAAAATGCGTGTCATCTCCTTATTTCTGCACATTTCGTGTATTTGCCTTCGGATATATCATGTGACCACAGTGTTTTTTGGCATGCCCTGCAACCCACTATTTTACACTGCAAAACAGCTTACAAAAGCACGCTGCCGAAGACACAACAGCTGGCGTATTTTCGAGTATCGTCCTTCCGTGTCGGTCTCAGGCGGTTATGTGAACTTCATAAAGTCAAACTTATCGATGATAATAAAAATATACCTAATTCCTGTCTGAAGATTTGGCAGCATAAATAGAAGATCCTCACCTCAAAGATATATAGACCTTTTCATTTCAGTAGTTGCCTGACCGGCGGGTAGAGGGCGCTGGCGCACTCGGCGCCATTAGGTTGCTTCAATTTGGTCGGTTTCGGTTTCAACGTACACGCGATTGTGATGCTGTTTCATGGCACTTTCGATTAATTTTGCGATATGAATTTCTTTCTAGTAGCACACAGCGAATGACACAATAGTATTGAGCCACTTGGCAAACCACGAACTGGTTTCGAGCCTAAATTGCGATCTTTTTTTACTAACACTATATGCGTCTGATTCCGTCCATCATTAATTTCGGCCAGGTTTGGCGATGAAACAACTGAGCTGATGCACAGGGAAAAGTACCATTGTCCACGGCCGTACCCGCGGACACTAATTTCAAGAAGAAAAAATAAATAAATAAAGAGCAGGACAAGCTCCGCCTGCAGCGTGCGCTCGTTGCCTGCCGCCGTGCTTTGGCTGTGCGTGCACCGAGCGGTACGGAAGTAGATAGCTCGCGCTCAAGTCAGATATTGAACTGATCATCTTATATTGCAACAGACTATATTACATGAGCGCTTAGTGAAAAATCAGGTTGACAAAATGATTAACAATCTGCTGAATCACCAAGAACAGATGAACTGACATTTTTACTGTTCGATGTTTGGTTTCCGTACACCAACCTTTTCTAATACCCGTGCCACACGGGCAACTCGAATGCCATTTACAACGAATGACATTTGAGCGGACGGCCAATCAGCGCGCGACACTCTGGGCGTGAGTGCATTCCACGCGCGATAGATTGCGAGCTGATTCGCCGATCACACAAATGTAATTCGTTGTAAATGGCATTCGAGTTGCCCGTGTGGCACAGGTATGATTTCGAGACTGGAAACGTCTTTTATAATAACTAGAAACGTTTAATATAATCACGTAGATAATATAAAAAGTGATATTTTCTCGGCCTGTTTTATTTAAAGAAATTAAGCGCTCGAGAAATATTTTGATAGAACAGCCTAGGCTGACTAGAAAATTTCTTTAACTAAAGTACTCATTTACAGCATTTAAAAATATTGGCCTTATGAAATAAACTTTTTGTTATATGGACATTTGCTTACGACGTTCTCAAGGTATGAGTATAGTGAGATAAGTGAATGCCAGACTTCAAATAAAGTCTGATATCCATCTTCCGTAAAATTTGCCGAATGAAATTGAAGAGCGCAAAAAAAATGATCTCCGATAAGTTTGGCTGAAGTCGAACGCCAGGCGCCACCCAATGGACCTGTGTAGAAAGCTGTCCCCGATTTGAAACGACGCGCTTTGCACATTTTGACGTCGCCAGCTAATGAAAGTAACTCCATATTCGCCGTCGACAACCAGCTGCACGCGAGTGATTTTCATGCAGTAGGATTCTTTTCGGCGTCACATTTTATGAATCATAGGCACTATCAAGTTGTCTGTGGCAGTTTCTTACGCGGGGAGTTCAAATATTTGTGTTGAAATAAATTAATTGAAACTGCATGGTTATATTAAAAAATTACTTAAGCAATTGAAAGACTATGGCCATGGGACCAAGCACGATATACAATTCCGTGGTCTTCATAAATAAACCGATAAAGCGAATGCTTATATCACAGACGCAATTAAGAACGTAAAACAGATATAGGCGTGATATTGCGAACAAACAAGTTGCCTAATGTTAAGGTACCATTATTTCTAGCATAAAAATAATTCAAACTAAACGTTTGTTCCCGCGCCTTGTCCACTAGTTCCCTAGCGTAATCAAAAGAAACTTTTCGATCTGTTAAAACTACAAAACACCATGTTTTCAGGAAAAACACGTGGCTAATTACGCTGAGCGTTTTCGTTTCCTTCCTTGACACCAATGCGCACTCATATATATAATAACATTGGGCTTCCTAGTGCGAATGTTCCGCCCTTATTAGTAACCAAACCTCAGTTCTCATAAGTTATTGGTATTTGAACCCTCGAGGCTCTCTTCAAGTCATATATGTACTCAATGTGCGCAAGTGCTAACGCTGATTCCTGTTCCTATGAAACCTTTTCACGCGTATCCCGCAAGCCAACGGTAAAAATATATTCAAAACGTGTTACAAAATCAACTACAGAAGTTGCGCGCATAATGATGTAATGCAATTGCATGCTAAGTATAAGTATCGGACGACACTTTACGGAGTAAGGCAAGAGACGCGGTGAAACGCGACGAAAAACACGAATTCAACGCATCCGCCAAGGCGCGGACGGGAGAGCGGAGCGACAAGTTGAAGCAACCTAATGGCGGCCGCGTCACGTGATTCCAAGATGGCAGCGCCCATGCGGCGGAGGGTGAAAAGGTCTATAAGTAAATGCGCCTTTAAATTATCTGAAAGATGTTCTGCAAATATTTTTCGGCGCTTTTATCCTCTATAGACGTGATAGGTGATTTTGAAAAGCTTTAAATAATTTTTTTTTATTTTGAAGCTAATTTAAATAACTATATGTGTTCCTCATGCATATATAACTTCTCAAATATAAAGAAGTTTATTATCGCGTTTTTTATGTGTTTTTATTATCACCTTTTTTTACTGGAACGAATGGTGGAACTATGACGATTGCATACTTAAACTCTCAGAAAGTGTCCAATTAAGTAGCTTCCGAATTGAGTAGAGCATGAAATACCACTTTTTACTAATTAGCAAAAATCATCAATTAGCGAGGGTGATGCTTATTTGCAAATTAAATTGACCTGCATTTTGTCAAGAGCAAACCTCAACATCCAGGCTATGCCAGTTTATCCAATATAAGAAAATGTTCACATGGGTAAGCACTGTTTTAGGTCAGATTCGATCTCAGTACTAAGGTGCTCATAGGTCAGGGTGAACAATTTCAGTCACTCCTTTTCGCATGATTCGTCGCCCGCATCATGGTGCTGAGAGCAAACAATGCTAGTTAGAAAAACAAGCATTGCGATTGTCGCTTAGTGTTTCTATAAAATATAGACTGGAAGGACTTGTCCCGTGACTTTCGTGACAATTTGAAAATTATATTCCCTTAAGCTCAGTCGTCTCGTCGTCATATATATATTGTGAAACGTATTCCGTAAAACACATTTTATGGTATATATGGCGACGAGGTGCCCATTTCATGATTGTATTCACTGTAATTAATTCCTTAGTTCAAGGGCAAAACCACGATTCAACATGTAATACTGCGATACAAAGTTGTACCAATCACGGGTATTTAGGCAACCTACTTCACTTCGCGAAAACATTTCGATTCAGGTACGATGTATGTGACTCTGGTAAACGAAGGGATGTTGAATCGTATAAACACGACCTTTTGTATGTTAATGTAGATTTTCCTTTCTTGTTGTGTAGGAATAAATAACAGAATTTTATAATTTTGGTACCTGAAAATAAAACTGAATTGAACAAACGATAAAAAAAAAAAAAGAAAACTATATACTGTAAACGACTTATTTTTCGTGGGCTCAATATTTCGTGATTTAGGTCAAAAATGAAGTTTTGGAATAATTCGCGGGTTGTAATTTTCTCGACGCGGTGGAATCTCAATATAAATTTCAATCTGTTTACATTTTACCGAAATTGTTCGCGGGACCCATTTTTCGCGAATTGTAGGCGATTCGCGAAATTCTCAAAAATAGGTCCTCGCAAAAATCAGATCGTTTACAGCAGTTAGTTTCACGGCCTAAATAGCGCCTATTGACAGAACAACGCGGAAAATATATTCTCAATTTAGCGGTTCAAACCGGTTCGAACCGGTTCGAACCGGTTTGAACCGTTATTTTTTGCGCCCCGGAACTGAACCGGAACCGGAGCCGTGAACCCGAACCCGAACCCGAACCGAATTAATAAAAATATCGGTTCGACACTCTGGTTTCTTGCGTGTGTGCTTTCGTGTTTAGCTTGAGTGATGAGAAAGGGCTTCAGAGACCCTAAAAATGCCTCTCCAGGCCCACAGTGTCAGAAAACCCCTATTTTAGAAACTACTGTTACTGCAACTTGTAAAAAGAAAACAAATAATATTTTTAAGCGTGGACAAAAAGAAAACAAACAGTTCACCTGGTCCACCTGGGATGCTTCGAGAGTCCGACTGTAGTAGTCCCTCGGCATAATGTACTCCACGACGGTAACAAGGCACCAGAATGCATCCTCTTCCGACATGAAGAGCAGGGCAATGGCTGCCAGCCTGTTTAGCCCCTGTGGAAGATCAGTCCATTAGACAAATGGCGACCCTCCAAAATTGCAAAGTAAGTTCGAAGTCTATGTCAAATTCAGAAAAAGAAAGGAAGAAACAGGATTCCCCTTTTCAGCCACCTCAATGGCTCCAAGGCAGGTGCTTGTGCTACGGACTTCTAGGCAGCAATATTTGTGCGCGAGAGAAAAGGTGTTTGAGGATGCCTATAGGAAAAAAGCCCTCTTGCAAAGCATCCTGCATGTAACCACCAGTCACGACAGCCAGGCATAAAGAGACCATAAAAGATAACCACCACAGTCACAATAACCAGTTATGAAGAGACCATAAAAGACGCCATGAGACTTCGTAGTTGCAGTCTAGATTTTTCCTACTAGGAGCCCTGCATTCTCTCCTTTATTCAGAGTGACTACTCTGGTATGCTATTGTTTTGTATCCTACGTTAAAATATACCCCCCCATTTCATGTTACCACGAACAACTAAGCATCGGCTTACACATGCAAGTTCTCTGCTAATTTTTACATCTCAGAATTGAAATACACGAAATATGCAGATAGCTCCGCCTGAGAAAACAGCTTGCTCGTTCGCCAATCTCCACACAAGTATCTCCCAAGGCTGCTATACCTGACAGTAGCCCACAATGAGATTTCGTCGGCTGTAGGCTAAGAGAACCCTTCGGAGAGGATTGATCCCTGGCGCATCTGGAGTTTCGTAATGCCGGTTGTTTGGTAACGTACGCAGCAGGTCCAGCTCGATCTGTAAAATTCAAAAACAAAAATAGTCACAAAACAAATGGGCGTGGGTATGTTTTTACACCCTGAACTTAGTCTGCCTCGGCGGGCAACTTGTCTCTCAGCTGAAGGTGAGAAATTTAGCCAGAGCAATGAAACCGCTAGCCTGGGGTGTTTAACGTTCATTTCACTGTAGTGATTAGAGCTTAGCACAAGGCTGGGCCGACCCAAAAACCAGGGCCCAGCCCAGCCTGCGGGCCGGGCCCAGGCAGCACAGGTTGTTTCCGGGCCCAGGCCGGGCCCGGGCCAAGTAGTATGGATTGTTTCTGGGCCTGGGCCTGGCTCGAGCCCAGAAACACGCAAATACTGAAAATTTTTAATCGATTGTGAGTTCAGTTCATACTGGACTCCATAAAATCTGTGACTTGTATATGTTCTATAATGTCTCAAAACTTTCCTTTATCTTCTGAATGAGTGCAATTAAGGGGGTACATGGATCTTTGGAGGCGAAAAATTCCCAAAACTTCATTCTTTTGAAAACGACGATGTTGACCTCTACAGCTGTTGCTTTTTTTTAATCTACCAGGTTTCTAATTTCATAGATGAATATTTGAGCCATAAATCAATTTATAATGTCTATGCAGGCTGAATGTGCGTTGAAGTCAACTCTTAAACACCATTTTCACAAAACACAATTTCTGAACTAGTTGAAACTTTGCAGGAGGGATATCAGCATCTAGGGCAGATAGAAATATAACTTTTCCTGAAACATGTAGCTAAATGTGTTAAGCATACAATGTTGAGAGCAGATTTTATATTATAGGTTAAAGGAAGTTTTTAATTGGTCTTTTATTTTATTACTTGTCAGCTACACATTGAGTGCTGAACTTCAATGTGTGATAAAATCACTAACAATGGGTTAACCTTAAAAATGCTTCCAACGATGTATTCTCCACACTTCGTAGTATCTAGTCATGTGTTAAAGAGGATATTTCATTAAATAGCGTTTTCCCTATTGTTCCTTTGAACAAAGGCAGGTGAGTATTAATTACCTTGAGGACAATTCTACTGACTTAGAGAATGAGCAGATATTTGAAATCGGTACAAAAAGCTGAATGACCTTGTGCAGTTTCATTGGGTTTGGTCATAAAATAAGAAAAAAGCTCTAAGACTAGTGTTCCCCCTTAAATCTCCATGTTGACATTAGCATTTTTATGCCGACACATAACGTCTTGATAGTTTCTTTCACGCCAATTAGGCTAAACAAAACAAATGCACCAACACCTCTCAATGGCAGCTTTGAATTTTAGAGATGAGGCATCCCTTGTCCTCTTACCGGGCCCGGAGGTAGGCATTTTGTTGGGCCGGGTTCGGGACGGGTAAGACTAAGAGTCGGCGGGCCCCCAGGCCAGGCCTCAAAAAGTAGGCCCGTGAAGTGCTCTAGTAGTGATATATGACCACACACCAGTACAACACTCATCCAAATCGAAACGGGCAGGGTTGGGGATTGAACCCAGGATCCCTGGGCTCTGCAGCGCAAGCTTTCGCTTCACAAGCTCCGAGCTGGTGTGTGCTAACCCACTCGGCCACCGATTCCCTTAAAGTTGCTCATAAACCATGTTCAGAGTATTGGCACTCTTTTCCCTGACTATCTATGTCAGCAGCTTTTAAACTGTTGTCTGCAGACTCCTAGGGGTCCACAGCGACATTGGTGGGGGTCTGCATTGATTCGGGGATCGCTCCACAGAGGGAACTAAGAAGGGTTTAAATTGTCGAACCAAACGTCTTTGCAGTTATAATAATAGCGTTCTGCCACAGTGTGTTCTTGGTCTTCTCTAGTTGAGAGCGGGTTAGGTGGCAGCAACTGAACTTGACAGGCCTACTGCCAGCCAAACGCTGACGCAGAGCTTGTCTCCTCGCTGGTTGGACACCAGTGCCAGCCGAACCTCTTCCTCGAGTACCTCCGAGTTACTTTTGACAGGCGTAAAACATCACGTGTTCATCAACATAGCACGCACTGCTCTGCGAAACGGGTGCACTCCGGGCTTCCCCAGAGAAAGAGCACAAAAAAAAAAGCAACAAAAAGGCTGATTAAAAAAAACAAAATCAAACACAGTGAATGTGCCGCGATCCTACACTTTTAGAGGGGCACTGACACATCAAAATCTCATTTTCTCAATTATCAGAAGCGATTGAAAACGATGCCACTACATTACCCTCAAAATTCGAAACTTTGGAATTCAGTATTTGTGAAGTAAAAAAACAATTTCCAAATGCTGAATTCGAAGTTCGCGCACGATTTGCGCCGGTGCATTGACTTCAAGAAGTGAGTCCTATCAACAACATCAATAAAACATGACGTTCTAAATTGGATTTAGGAACCACCCCTAACGGGTTCTGTGGACCGTTCCTATGGAATCCCCAATCTATGAAATTACTAACAGCACATGTGTTTCATTCGGGTCGACGATCTATGTTCGATGGAAAGCAAATGGCAATAAGGTCTGTCAAGTCTTGCCTTTATTCTGTCTGTTTAGCAGTCATGGCTCCAACATAACTGAACAAAAAGAATTTGTAAAAAAAACAACCGCATCTCTACGTAGTGAATGATGTTGATTGGGGCGAAGCTCTGGTGGTGCTTGTCTGCGTAGACGCTGAGTCGCAGCATGCCGAGCCTTTCGTTCGTTTTCATCCATGTCACGCTGCGGTCAAATGCTCAAATGCTCAAATGTGTATATAACCACATTCCATACCACACATTCTCTTTCTGACATGGATGAAAACGAACGAAAGGCTCGGCATGCTGCGGCTCACCGTCTACGCAGACAAGCACCACCAGAGCTTCACCCCAATCAACATCATTCACCACGTGGAGATGCGTTTTTTTTTTTTTTTTTTTACCTACACGAGCACATGCTCACGTGCTCGTGAGCACGAGCACCCGACGCCGGACATCGGACGGACATACGGACATGGCTAGCCCCTAAGGAGCTTTGCCCCTAAAAAACAGATTCCTTTGTTGCAACGGGTTGATGTAGTTCCAAGTGTTCGGTTCCGTCTTGCCGCGACCTGGTACAAGGTCTCTACTCGGCACTGCCGTGTTCCCATTGTTGTGTTTTCCAGAAGATCCGTCTACGGCGTCTCACACTCCAACAGGCTCCGAGAAAATCGCATTTACACTGCAACCATGGGAGATGACGCCCACAAGCAAGACGTCCACGGAGAGCTCACATGCTTACTTTGCATAATGCAGACCTGCTTCGTGCCATCCAACCTTCATGTTTACATGTCTTCTCCACACCAACACATCACATTCTTCTGTGTGACCACTGCCCTTGCCACGGTAGTGTGCCAAAGAGGCGACTTTTTATCAGAGGCTTTCTTGAAGAAAGCGCTCAAATATGTTGCCATTTTCGTTTTAAAGCGATAGCTTTACGGGCGATACTTTGCCGAGACTTCGAGCTTGTGGGCTGCCATCACGCCGTTATGGAAAAACCCTTTTCTCCGCTCTTGGCGCAAGGCCAGGGAAATCGGGCTTCCCTGTCGGCCACGTAGCACGGAGAGAGAAGAGAGGGGAACCCCAGCATCCCGCCAGAAATGACACGACAAAGGGAGAGTCTTCCTCTAGTCTGCTTAAAAGACTTGTTTTCTAACATTAATCGCACTATGCAAAATCCGAGTTGGGCAGTAGTATCCAGTTGCTATATGCGTAATGTTGAATGGTACGTGACGTCCTCAGGTACGTGACGACACCATTCCACTCACATCGTGCGACTGTGCTACGGCTATTGCTTTCGCTTCTTCGCACATCGTGGGTGAAAAATAAGAATTTTCAATTGCGAGTTCACTTTGTCCAGGCTTGTCCGCAGGATGCGGAAGAAAGTAAACCGGATTTATATTTAGCCGGAACGACGACTTCAACATTCTCCGATTAACAGCGAATTCACTTCTTCAATGTATGCAACACGCTCTTGTCAGATTAAACATATTCTACGGCGGGCCGCGAATGACCTGTAAGATGGCCGAAGTCTACAGCAATGCAAAGCTTGAGAAATGCTTGTCTATGCTACAAGATTAGTCATTCAATCACAAGACATACTGGATTGAAAGTTATAACTCTTGTTGAAAAAGAAAGACAATGGGAGTATGCCATTTTGTTCAGTTGTGGGCTGCTCAGGTAGGCACAAAAACAAGAAAATTTACCAGTTCTGTGTTAAACCACAGTGCAGTAGCAGCAACAGCTGCGACAAGTCGCGGCAAAGCTGTTGGCCATCAGCGTCGCATTCACGCACCGCGGGGTGCATGAACAGATGCGTTCTGAGCATTTTGTTCCGAACGCTTTTATTTCTTTTTTGTTCCGGAGCACGCGAAAGCGTGTCTCTCGGTGCGAGCTCTTAGCATTGACAGTGCCCCAACGGCATTTTGTAATCGGCTTTTTTTTTTCTGGAGCACGTGCAGTGGGCATTGGATACTACAAAAGAAACCAAGTATAAAGCAGGTTGTTAATGCTGTGGCATACCTTAGTGGTTGTGGGGCTTGTAAAAGAGCTAGCTACCAATAAAGTAACCAAATGGTTGTCTCAACAGCGGCAGCAATGTCAAAGGAAAAGTCAAACCTAGCGGCCTGGTTCCTGCATCTCCGTGGCAATCTAGACAATGTTTATAGGGCTACATTACTGCAGGTCGGTTCAATGAATGTACCTCCGTCAGTGCCAATGACTGACTGCCTGTTCCACTCTCTCGAATATAGCAGAAGTGAAGGCACACGTACCAGAATAAGGACAGACTACAAGAGCATTTATTGAAATACTCAGAATGAACCCCATACAAAATGCCCCCCACGCCGGCAAGGTAAGAAAAGATCTTTACCTGCCAGAGGCAAAACTTCCGGAGAGACAGAGGGCAGGAAAGCATTGGAGAAGTTGCCGATAATACGTCCCATCTCTTTCGCAGACACCGAACGAGTACCCTTCCCAAAGGCGAAAGAAGATGAGGCGTATTCTCCTCGCCTGTCAGCAACGTTCTGTATCCAAGCAGGGGAACGGAAAGAAGTCCCCCCAGCAGAGTCAGAGGGGGCTGTCCAAGACAGGGGACCCTTCGCTTCACGAACAGGTCAGAGCTCACAATAAAGGAGGCCGAGCCATCCAACCTGCGGCCGCTATCACAGCCATCGGGGAAGGGAGACCACGGGAATCCCCACATGGTAACATTTCCGCTTCACTTACAGCGGGCCCAGGTTGGTTTCCCGCAGTTGGTGGGCGATCTTTTTCGAGGATTTGGCGACACCGAAGACGGACGCCCCACATCACCAATTACTACATCAACAATGCATGTCATTTCCAATGGTGGGAAGAGACCATAACAGCTATCGCTGTAAACGTGTTCTAGAGCGCAGCTCATAGGCGTTCGTTTCCGGCTTGAGCAGCGTCACCGTTGACGTAACCGCGCGGTGCATTATGGGTAAATTTCCCCACTAAATGTAGCAGAAACATTTCTCCACTAAATCTAGAGTTAAAAAATTTCCCCGCTAAATCTAGCGGAAAAATTTCCCCGCTAAATCTAGCGGAAAAATTTCCCCGCTAAATCTAGCGGAAAAGTTTCCCCGCTAAATCTAGCGGAAAAGTTTCCCCGCTAAATCTAGCAGAAAAGCTTCCCCGCTAAATCTAGTGGAAAAATTTCCCTGCTAGATTTAGCAAAAAAATTTCTCTGGGGGGTCACATGACCCCACCCCTGGGTCACGTGACCCCCCCCCCCCCCCCGGGTCACGTGACCCCCCAAGTGACCTTGGGGGTCAAGTCACGTGACCCCCAAAGTCACATGACCTGCCACCAAGCATGGTAGATTAAAATTACTAACTGGAGTCCCAAGCATGCAACGTAAGCAATCTCCCAAGGCGCTCATGAGCAAACACGAAACATAAGAAATTATTTTAGTTTTAGTGCCACAAGCGGCCCACAAACCTCAAATCATGTGGCTCCACTTTGAATCTACCCTAAACGCATAATTTCTGAAACCGGACACGAGAAACAGGGGGATCAGTGGCCTAGTGGGCTAGCGCACACCAGCTCAGAGCCCGTGGAGTGAAAGCTCGTGCTGCAGAACCCAGAGATCCTGGGCTCAAACCCACCCCTGCTTGTTTCGATCCGGATGAGCACCGTACCGGCGTGCGGTCGTGTATCACTACTGCGTGGTGCACGTTAAAGACCCCAGGCTAGCGGTTGTACTGCATGGCTAAGTTGCTCATCTACATCGAGTGATTCGTCGCAACTTTGAAATGGCTGACCAAGTACATGCTGTGTAAATATCCACACAACCCCAATTATTTACCCGAGAAACATTCAAAAGAAACTAAGAACTTCGAGTCTGAAAACTGCCGTTTTTATGAAAGGGTTCCTGTATCCTGCCACCTCTATACTTCGTTTTATCTCACAATGAACCACAGTGCTAGCTACGAGCCATCCCATCTAATCCAGTGCCGTTAACGTACCTCGCGACTACTATGTGCCCTGCTACCGCTCAGCTCTGCTACTGCTCTACCGTATCGCTCTCAAAGATCACATGACACTGACACAGCATTGAAACAGGGTCCGTCGTAAGGCGAAACAAAATATAACGGAGAGGGTGAGAGAGAAATCCCATCAATCGTTGGAGAAAATCAAGCGAGGCAATGCTCACCTGCTTGACAGCAGGGTCAAAGGCACTTGTGATAGTTGGAGTGGTCAGCAAATCTTCGTAGTAACCGGGCCCTTTCTCAGCTCTTTCCTGACCGGCATGGAACTCTACGCACCTGAAAATGTGCGCACATTCTGAGAATACCACTTGGACTAAAGGCTCGATCACAAGCCTGACTTTAAGCAAGCGGAACATCGTCGTCGCAGCTGCTTCCAACCGCTTACCATGAGAAAACACACTAGCACACTAGCGCTGTGTATCGGTAGCCCTGGAACCCTTCCAATCTGCCTACAACTACAAAGGCTAATCATTTATTTCCGGGACTGATTTGTTTTTCGGGGAAGCTATAATTGGCAGCAAAATGGCAACAAGGCAGGACAGATGGCAACTCTGTGCAAGTGTAAATGCATAGTAGCCGTTACCTCCCCGCATTCGCTCTGTGGAAGCCTCTAAGTGAACGTCTACCTGCAGTGTGCGTAGCATTTCACGATGGAGGAGAAAGTTCAGCAGCGTGTGTGCATCAATTTCTGTTTCAGTCTTGGAAAAACTGGTGCTGAAACGTATGAAATGTTGCAAGCAGCTTTCGGAGAGTCCTGCCTAAGTCATTCAAAGACATTTGAGTGGTATTCCGGTTTCCATATAAACGCCAATCCTTTGAAGATGACCCAAGTCCAGGCAGGCCGTCCACCTCCCACATCGAGGAGACCGTGGCACGTGTGCGAGAAATCATTCGCACTGACCGACGATGACAATCAGAGAGGTTGCAGAGGATGTTGGAATAGCATTCGGTATGTGCCAGAAAATTCTGACTGAAGATTTGCAAATGAGATGTCTGTCAGCGAAATTTGTGCCCCGTCTCCTGAAAGTGAAACAAAAGGATGATTGCGTGTCAATTTGCACTGACCTCCGTGAGCGAGTCGAAAACGATTTAAACTTTATGTCCTCCTTAATCACAGGTGACGAAAGCTGGGTTTACGGGTATGACCCAGAGACAAAGCAAATGCCCTCCCAGTGGAAAACTGCATCATCTCCTCGACCGAAGGAAGCGCGGCAGGTGAAGTCTAATGTCAAGACTATGTTGATTGCGATCTTCGACATAGATGGGCTCGTTCATCATGAGTACGTCCCTAGAGGCCATTCAGTAAACAAGAAATTCTACAAAACAGTCCAGCAACGCCTCCGCGACGCCGTGCGCAGACGCCCTGAGAAGTGGCATTCCGGCAAATGGATCCTACTCCATGACAATGCCCCACCTCACAGAGCTGTGGCCACAAATGAATTTCTGGCAAAACACAACATTCCCTCCCTCCCACACCCTCCATACTCCCCTGACCTTGCTCCATGCGACTTTGTCTTGTTCCCGGAACTGAAGAAAACAATGAAAGGTTGCCGATTCTACGACATTGAAGAGGTGCAAGCCAACGCGACGAGACAAATGAGGGCCATTACAAAAAGTGACTACTAGAGGTTCAGTGGCCGGAACACTGGAATAAGTGCATACAAGCAGAAGGACAATACTTTGAAGGAGACAAGACTAACTAGGTTGTAAGTCTACTCATCAACTCGCAAGAAAATCAGTCCCGGAATTAAATGATCAGCCCTCGTATGTTGAAAGTTTCGCAGCATTTGCGAGATAAAATCTACTCCCTATCCGTGAGAAACGGTCGCTTACAACACTGTCAAAATTATTTCAAGCTCCTGGCGAAAGAATGATGCGTAAAAAAATAAAACAATGTGCGCAAATCACAAGCGTTCCGGGGACGCTCGCTGGGTGCCTTCGGTGTGCTCTCCAGTCGTAAGTCGTCCCGTAAGGTTACAACGTGCTCGACCACATACAATCGCAAATGTGAGAGCCGGTTTTCAATGTGGAATTGCCGTCACGTTTTAAAGTTAGGCAGGGTTACCCATTAATGAGAGCGCCATATGGAGAAGGAGTCCAGCCTACCCTCTCCAGACCCGACTCCTGAATTCCTGGGGAATGCCGGTCCGCACTAACGCCTTCAGCTCTGGGTTCTTCTGCAACGGCTTTCCGATGGGGCAGTTGACGAGGTAGTTCTCCCACTTGACCCTCCACGATATCAACGAGCTGTCCTGCAAAGCCAACAGACACCATTCCAGAGGTTAGAGCAAAATTATGAAAGCAAAGCAGTAAGAGGGAACAATGAGAGCCTCAACTTCTGAACACGTCGGTCGGACCGGTTGGAGACCACAACCTTAAAGGCCGACGTACACTTCACGCTTTCCACTTTTGCCTGCCTCCTCCTTTCCTATATCCTCTCCACTTTTTACCTTGCCCCAACTTGGCTCCCCTCGCAACTTAGGAAAGGGGAGTGCTAAGAGGATCATCTTTCCTGCAGAAAACCGAAGTTGTAAGTTGGCTTTTAACCACCGGGATAGTAAGTTCTTACCGCTTCTCATCCTGTCAGTGCCTATGGTCACAACTTACTAAGTTGTGACCATAGGCACTGACAGGATGAGAAGCGGTAAGTTAGGTTTACATTATTAAAATAACTCAGCCTTTTATAAAGCATTTATAAGTAGGCTGTATACTTTCCAGTTTTAACCAAAAAAACACTGATAAACATCCACCGGTGTTGAAAATACAAAATCGGTTAAAACTGAAAAACACCGGTTTTTTCCTATTTTTGAGCAAGCCCTGGTTTTTTTCAAGTCTTGTATACTTACCAGTTTTAACCGAAAAACGCTGATAAACATCCGCCGGTGACGGAAATAAAAATCATTCAAAACAAAGAAACACCGGTTTCTAACATTTTTTTCCTATAGTCTGTCGCAACTCAAGAATGTAGGGCGAGGGAAAGGAGGGCCGGGGAGGAGGAAGCAGACGAAATGCTGGAGAGGAGAGGGGGAAACCTCCTCCATTCTTTAGCGTTTCGTCTGCTTCCTTCTCTCAGGTCTTCCTTACCCTTGTCCTACCTTCTTGAGCTGCAACGGACTATAGCAATGCTGTTTTTTCTTTTTTTCACTGAGAAAGTCCTACACTAACTTCCATCAAACAAATTATCATACCCAGAATCATGCACTTTGCCTGTCTTTCTTTGCTCTTGGAAGATAGTAGCTTTGTTCCACTGCTGTCCAAGGTCAGCGGTCCTCCTAAGCTACCGAACTTGAAGATCACTATCAGTGGCCCGAGAGGCCAGTCACAGCTGGCCAATATGTCCCAAGTCTAGTTGTACGTTTTGGGGCTTCCCGTGTCCAGTGCAAATGTTGAGCGGGCATTCTTGAAATTGTGCGTCGTCAACAGGAAGGAGTGACAGACACGAGCCAAGGAATGTATGCGTGCATATACTATAATAATCAAGTGTGAAAGAGATTGCTTAAAATACGTAAATAAAATTTTAACTGTTTTTCATTTTCAGTAGTCGTTTACATTTGAAATTTTTTCCCCCCAATGATCACCATTTTTAGCGTCTGCATGAGAGAATTCACCGAAAAGCACCGTTATTCTAGAAATAAATGAACACCGATAAACATCCGCTGATTTCTGTCATAAATAAACACTAGAAAGTACACACTCTATTTATAAGCCATGTTCACCCCGCCTCCTCCAAATTATTTCGAGTGATAATGTATACACTCCGTGCGGGAACTATAGGGGGCGCTTTGAAAAACGCGCGCAGCGCCGCTAGCGGAGGAGCTGGCGTTCGACTGTGAGGCGCGTTCAGCAGCCTGCGGCGCCTTTTCGCATGCCAAGCTGTGGCGGCGAAAGCACACACGGACGAAACTTCTGCTTTTTGAGCCGATATGTTGAGGGTGACGTTGCATGAGTGCTGGGGCAGAAGGGTAGTTAGCTGTTCTCCACTTATATATCGAGTTTGAGTCGTTATTAGGGGTAATTTCTCTAGTTGCAGCCGAAAAAGGAGTTGGAGCAATTTTCCGAAAAACAAGACGGCCGACACCATAATTGCTCTGAGTGGGAAATTTATTTCGCTCGTCGCTGTAAACCTAGGACTGCTGGAACGATGATATTTGGAGGCGAGTGAGATGTTCACTAAGTTTGTGCACGAGGAGTGCCAAGTTTCCTTAAGACAGCAGGTGCGAAAGTTATGTTTCCAACGGATAAAGAAATGAAGCTGCACGGGATATCCAATATTGGACCCAAAATGTTGTGTTATAGCGGGCTGTGCAAAGTGCAGATTTGGGCACACAGGTGCTTGGACTTGACAGTAACATGACACAGCACTTATTATACAAAAAAAAAAGGTGGCACAGGGAAACCAGGTGAAAATTTGGTTTGGGCGGTGTGACTCAATGGGAACCGGTTTTGACCATGAAAAGGCTGTCAAGAGAATACCACTGGTCAGGGGAGGTGGAGATTTTCGAGGTAGGAAGGGACTAGTGGATAGTACTTCCAAATGAAACAACTTTAAGAAAGGTGGTTCCAAAGCCGAGAAAACAAAGTTGTCGGCCAACACACGGTTTGGCCGCCAAGGGCTTTTGCGGTCAGCTGTTGCGTAATAACGTGTTGTGCGAGGTGCTGATTTTCGGCGCACAGGTACTTTGACAGGACCGTCACTTGGCACAACACTTATTATAACAAAAAGAGTTGGCATAGCGAAACCAGGTGGAAATTTAGTTTGGGCGGCGTAACTAAATGGGAACTGGCTTTGACCGTCAAAGGCTGTCAGATAATACCACTCATCGTGGAAGGTGCACACTTTACAGGTAGGAAGGGACCAGTGGACGGTACTTCCAGTTCGAACCACTTTGCAATAGGTGGCTCTAAAGCCGAGAAAAAAAAAATTGTTGTCTACAGAACTCGGGGTGTCAGCATTTCCACATCCAAAGGGAGGCTGATCAAGAAAGAAAGCACACCACATAAACTTCCACACTCAAACGTCGATTCTCCAGTGATTCCGAGTTCTATTGTTGTTTCCTTTAGATTTACATTTGTCACTTTTTTTACCGTTCGAATCGTTCTTCGTGAAATACAGATTGTGTGCCATACTTGTCCGGAAATATCATCGACACGTACGATGCGGACGAAACTTCTTTAGAGGGCATTCCTCCAGCGAAATTGGCACTGCATACCCGCGAGTGTGGGATGGCATTTCAGTTCGTCCCATCGGCGCTGACACATGTAGGCGTTACTGGTACGAAAACAAACGCAGAGCGCAAAGCGGCAGTGTAGAGTATGTCAGCCATGCCGACACAGTGGCAGACATGATCGGGAGACCAAATTTCTCGCGCCGAACGGCACGGCTCCATCGTTGTCGCTGTCCCACAAAACATCGGCGTGGTGAAAAACTGTGAAACTTTGTCTCCACGAGATACGATGCATATCTATTGAAGCACTTAATGACGCAGCACAGGCAGCACTTCATGCTGTAAACTCAGCGCAACCGCACCACTCCGACTTCAATGCGTACCAACATACGCGGCGTGGTTTCGGTTTCGTTTTCTCTGGGGTTCTCACTGCCTACCTTCGGTACCGGCCGCACGGCGGCGCGCCAGTCGCGTCGCACGGAGTGTATAGCAATGCCAGACACTGAAGTAGAAGTATAGTGAATGAAGCTGCAATGTCAGTGATCTCCGCTGTGCAACTCCTGTTTGAACACCACCTGGCATCGAGAGAAACTGTTTAACATATAAATGATGAGGTCCAACATTTTACCACACAACATGTTTGAGGGCTGGGATTGCTGATGAAAGTGGAATGTGATACCACAAAAAACCATAACAAAGAACCGCCATACAGCCACCATATCTAGCAGACTGCTAATTAGCAATCTATAAAATTTGCGTAGCCAGAGGAATTTCTTTCTTTTGGGGGCAAGGTCACTGGACCTCTGGCTAAGCCAATGGTGCATAAGTCTGTAAACAGTGCATAGGTCTGTATAGCAGTGTGTAAGTCTGTGTAGTCTAGCCACTTTATCTGTTCAATCATAGAAATCAAACGCACAAATTTTTAGTAGTTTGTCTGCTGCACAATGCACAGCGTTGTGTCACATTGCAACTTTTGTGCTCCCCTTGAGGTCGATACAGCTTGCGGGATGGCTAATGCAGCAACCTTCAAAAGCTGATTCACACATTTGCATTTGGGTGTGATCAACAGTGTCACAAGGGCCCGGGACTGCTTTTGCTTACGACTGCGCATAACTAGACCCAAGGTTTTGGCGGTACTTGTGAGATCAAATCTATGCGTCATATATGAGAAACAGTTCCTTGTAACATTGTCAGAATTATTTCGAACCTACGTTGAAAGAAGGATGCATAGAAAAATGAGGAAATGTACACAGATCAAAAGGGTTCCAAGGCTATCAGATAGATGGCGCGAGGGTGCTCTCGAGTTGTAAGCAATGGCAAGTGGTCACAACGAAGTCGATCGCATGCAAACGCAAATGTGTTAACTAGAGTCACTGAATGTTCCCAGAGTACCGAAACTCCCAAGCTTCATTTCAGAACCAAGTTGCGGCGCAGCAGTCGCGCTCCAACCCATCCCCAATATGGCGCTGCCCTGTGCAGTCGAAGCGAAGCGTGTACAATGTAGTCTTGGTTCTCGTGTGAGCTCTTCAATCCACTTTCCTGGTCTGTGGTGATGCTGGTCCGATTTTATTAAAATTCTCCCCTTTGTTCCACGGTGCGTGACTTGCTCCTCGCTGTCTCGTCCCACTCTCTCGCCTCAAAGTTGAGTGTTAGGCTTAGCGTCTGAGGCGTAGAGTTTGAAACGAAGCACCAGTGCAACTGGAGCGAGCAAATGAGCCGCCAATCTTCTTTGGTGAACCAGATTAGCGGCTACTTGGTATAAAAAAAAACTAGAGGAAAATTAACACACCCTTTGTTCGGTCCTAACCAAGGTCCTAACTCATCATGTCCAGAGCTCTCACCCGTGCATACCTGCTATACCCGTGGTAACCCGGAAACACTTTATATATGTTTTAACGCGACAGTGTTAAGGAGCTTGTGTCGCAGGCAAGCCGGCGTCGGTGGGGTCGTGAAGGGAAAATCCGGATTGGTCGATAGGGTCATGACCTCGTGCGGGAATTTCAAGCAACCTAAAATGCTCACGTGAAATGTGACGTCACGCAGGGAATGAAAGTGATTAAAATACGACATGTAATGCGAATTAAAGGTCGCCGCATGTCTCAAACAATTTCACTTTATAAAGTAATTAATTTGCCTTAAAGTATAAATTTGAAGAATTTTAGGCAGGACTCTAACCCGCGACCGTTTGGTTGCGAGCCAGACATGCTAGGCTAAGCAGAGACGCTTGCAAGGCTTGGGAACAAGCGGGAATTTATATGTTTAGCTATCGCGTTCCACTCTTAGAGGCGAAGCTTAAGCATCCTTCAAGTGTTTTGTGGTTTTGGGCTCCTCTCCAATAGGGCCGACGGCTAACTTCCGGTACGGGCCAAACCAGCCAATCAGAACTGGGCTCTGCGGGGATGGGCTTCCGGTAAGCAGACTGAATGGAACTTGGTACTCTGGGAACATTCAGTGGCTCTAGTGTGAAGCAGCTTAACTCACAAGAGTGAAATCGTCCCAGCTCGTGGGGTACTAGAAACAAAGTCAGTACCTGCATCTTTAGGGAGATGTTTTCGGACTTCCTTTTGAGGTTCTCGGCCTTGGAGACGACCATGTCGCACTCCTTCCCCCATTTGCGGTTGAAACCGTACGTGTCGTAAACTTCGTCACTGAAATCAAACAGACATAAAAAAAGTCACCGAGGTTAGACACTGCCTCTCTCTAAAGACATGTTTGCACTACATGGCAGCACTAATCACTAAAAACAGCACCAACTTGAATGTAACGACCAACACTAGTGCAGCACTGTATCACAGCTGTATCACTAATACAGCATGAAGCCGGCGCTGCATCAGCAAGGTAGAGCTGGGGTGTATGTGTGAACGCGGGGCTCAAATTTCGCTTCATGAATGAGCCTATTCGATTTTAGACTCTGTAAACAATTCCAATGTTAAGGTCACCCCCCACCCCCTTTTCCCCCAAACCTAATTTCTAGCTCGTCAAGAAACAAACAAATTGCATACGACTCTCACAGTGAGATTACTTTTTTTTGGTACACGAATCAGTGCGCCCTTTTAATTAAAACTCAAATACATTCTTCCGATTGGTTCGAATGAGTTGTTCCAAATGCATTTGCTTTACAATCTGAAGCTTCTCACAAATAACTCTTATCTTTGAGACAGCCGACAGCATGCCATCAACGGTTTGCTGTGTTCTGCGATAGACGCTGTTTCGTTTTGTGCGCTTACCCCATGCCTTGGCCGCAAAATGGCAGCCGGTAATACACCTAAATAAATAAATAAAAAAAATTGAAAGATGTTTACAATTCTCTGTAATGCCGAATTGGAGCGCAGCTCTTGAGGAGGAGGAGGAGGGGAGGGTACAGGGGGGAGGGTATGCCCCTCCCCCCTGTAAATTTAGGGGAAAACTTTCCCTGCTCGATTTAGCAGAAAAATTTCCCCGCTAGCGGAAAAATTTCCCCGCTAGATTTAGTGGGAAAATTTCCCCACTCAATTTAGCGGGAAAATGTTACCACTGAATTTAGCGGGAAACTTTCTCGCTAAATTTATTAGGGGCGACGCAAACTTTTGTCGAACTGGACTTTTAGGACAAACTTTCGGGGTTCGACTGGTTCCAATCGGTTCGACGAACCTTCAAGCTTTTAACCAGATTTGACCGGTTCGACTTTGTGGACAGTGTGGCCAGACCTTGATACAAGCATGTCTAGGTTTGGAGAATTCTTTTTTTATGCAAAGGGCTATTTTAATTTTATGAATAGTTGCAATTAAAAGAAACTAATTGTAATCACTGAAAAGTTAATAACTTAATTTTTTGTACTGTATTAACTGAAATAACCAACCAGTGCTGCCCTTAATTCATTGCTTAGCCATCACCATCCAATCCGCAGCCAACTGGCGAGCCTGTTGCGTATGCGCATAGCAGTCGAACCTCAGTCGAACCTTTGTCAAACTTTTCCCAAGAAGTTTGAAAAAGTCGACCTGGTCGAACTCGAATCTCGACCCGTTCACGACACCGCTAAAATTGATTTAAAAAATTTACCGGAAAAATTTCCCCGCTCAATCTAGTGGGACAATTTTCCACAAAATTAAGCGGGAAAAATTTCCCTGCTAAATTTAGCGGAAAAATTTCCCCCCTAAATTTAGCAGGAAAATTTTACCCTTGTGACATCACATGTGACGTCATGTGTGACCTCAATAAGGGAAACGTCCCGCTACTTCAGCGAAAAAATTTCACACCAAATTTAGCGAAAAATGTTCCCATAATGACGTCACACATGACGTCACATGTGACGTCATTGTGAAAAATGTTCCGCTAAATTTAGCAAAAAAATTTCGCGATAAATTTAGTAAAAACTTTTCCCGCAAATATAGCGGGAAAATTTTAGCCTCGCAATGTCACATGTGACGTCAGATGTGACGTCATTATGGAAAATGTCCCATAATGCAATGCACGTTTACGCCGACGCCGCTCAACCCAGAAACAGGCACCTAAGAGCTGCGCTCTAAAAAGAAGTAAAGGAAGGCTGTCATATCGGTTGTATTGCAGAGAGCCTTTGCAGCTGTCAACAGGAATGCGGGTGCAAAGTAAACTAAAGTCTTCGAAACCCTCCAACAGTTCATCTGCATGCAGAAAGATAAAGGAATGTAGAACTCACCTTCCCAGAAAAGAGTCATGGATCTCCTTGGGAAGCGTTGGATCGTGCATGGCTTCCTCGAGCAACTGAGAAACTATGCCCTGCACATTACTATCGCCTGCAAAAGGTGGGACCTTTCACAGACTGCGCTCCACGAGACCGCAACGACAACACCGAAAAATTATTGCCATAATCGCTGTGCAGATTGTCGCTGAAGTATGACAGCATTTTTATGACAGCTTCTTCATTAAACTATTTATGATCTTCTGTGGAAATTCTAGGAATATTTTTGCTAATGTCTATGAAGTCTTCTATCGTATGTAAAGTCAATTCACATTATTTTCTGATCTGTCTACTTCCTGTGGACGGGTCTCCCATGACCAACCAACGGCTTCTGTTTTATTATTCCTACAATTAAAACGTTTCTTACTATATAAGGATACAAATATAATAAGGCCCTTGGTAAGTCTATTTGCCATGCAGAAGCTAATATACCACATCATATTCGTTGCGGCATTACCCCTCATATGCATAAATGAAGTAGGTATATATAACAGATGCATTCTGCCTGTTTTGTTGATTATAGACCAAAGGACGGACAGAAAAGTGTAAAGGATTTGCCCAGAAATGCCATCGTACTTAAAATATGAGAAAATCTACCCACCTTCCTGCGGTGCATTGAGTTCTTTGAGGAGAAACAGCAACTTGCTCTGAGTCTGATAGTGCCTTGCCTCGGCGTTCGAGCACTTGCTGTTTAGAGACAAGACCAAAAACAAAACGAAAAAGAGAGATTAGCAAATAATGCAGCTGTGTGCACTTAAACAAGACACAATAAAGAAAAGAGTGAAATGAGTCACAGCTGCAGTTTAACCTAGCCTTGCCCTCCTTTCACCTCTTCTGTTTAAAGTTTCAGTAAAATAAAATAAAATAAAATTAAAATACCATTCGTCCAATTTAGGAGAGAGATGGGGGCATGATCTAGACGAGTTATTAGCTTTCTGTCAGCTGTGCTCGATTGTAATGGAATTCGCAAGAGGAGCGCAGGTTGTGACACTGTGCAGGACGTTGACCCCAATTCAGAAGTTTGAAAAAGGTTGAGGTGTTGTTCCTCAGATCGGAAGAAAAGAAAGGTGACCTCACACGAATAATGAAGACAGTTTCTTGCAAACGGAAAAAAATTCCCCACTAAATTTAGGGGAAAACTTTCCCTGCTCGATTTAGCAGAAAAATTTCCCCGCTAGATTTAGCGGAAAAATTTCCCCCCTAGATTTAATGGGAAAATTTCCCCACTAAATTTAGCGAGAAAATGTTACCACTGAATTTAGCGGGAAACTTTCTCGCTAAATCTATTAGTATTAAATATATTTGCTGAATCAAGGTGCAATACAGTAGAGCCTCCTCAAAACAAACTTTATTTCGTAGAATCAGTTTGTGATGTCAGTAATTTGCTGTAAGAAAGTTGGCTGATATTCATGTATGGCAAGCCTGATACAAAATACTAGGACAGTCTGAAATTTGGTAGGTGTGCATGGCCTCAAATATTCTGTGCTATCTTGTTTAGCTATCATCATCATTGTCACCTGTTTACTTTGTGTCCTCATGAACAGCTATACTTAGGACAGCTTTCTGTGGCAATAAAATCAAATAGTAGTCACGTGTGAATAGTGAATTTTGAGTCTGAAGCAAGTTCGTAGCAAATAGTGATTTTGGCCGAATATTTTAGAATTGAATATAGTCGCCAACCGATTTTTTGAATGCTGATAATTCCGACTTGTTCGATATTCTGGACCTAAAGGAGGAACTGTGACCACCCAATAAAAATAGTGCATATTCATGGCCAATGTTTCAGACTGCTTGAAGTCCGAAATTTTGATTTTTCTGACAATACTGTCGTGAGCGATGAGCGGGAAACACCACCAAGAAGCCACCATTTTAGATTCTATTTTGGCTGCACATAGATTGGCTTGGTTTGGCGGCGCTGCTTGAGTACTGCTAAGTCCCATCACTAAGTAACACTACACTGCAGCTTTTCTTCCCCCTAACTGCGCATCATTATCATCATATAATTTTGCTTTGTTCATTTGCCATTCTGCAGTCGTTGACTTGTGCATCTTATCTCATTGAATCGTGCCTTCTAACTATGCTGGCTGGGACGTTATGGCCCCAATCTGTTCTTCCACCGCCGCGAAGTGTTGCTAAGAGGTGCGGAAAGTACTCGAACATAATGCTAGAAAAGAAGGCAGCGATTCTTAAGCTAATAGAAAGAGGCCGAATGCAAGCAGAGGCGTAACCTGAAGCAAGGCACTATTGACGGCTTTTTTAAGCACGCTTAGATGTCATAAAGCCAAGTTTTTAATATGCTGATTTTTTGGTCTGCTCTCTTATTATGACGCTTCTTCAGTCCCTGCAAAGTCCGAAAAATCAGTGGGCGACTGTAGGATAGTTTGTTCAAGCTTTTCGTTACTCTTGCACCATGCTTGAACAAAACTAAGCTAAACTCGTGAAGAGCTTCCACTTGTCCATTTATATGCTATTATCTTCTATTTATGATCTCTGACCTCAGAAAGTCTGATGCCTCGGAATGGCAAGTAAACGACGGATTGAACATAAAATTAAACCTTCAAAGATACCTAGCTATCCTTAAAGGGGCCCTCCAGAGCTTTCTGCGATCGTCTCTTTATGTTGTTGTATTGCGTAGTAGGTGCAAGTTAATATGTATACAAAGTTTTAGATTACAAAACCGTTTATTAAACAGATGGCAGTAGAAATATATCTGGACTATTTTCTTTTGGAAGACAATCCCCCATTCCCTGCCCATCGCTAAAACTTGACCAATGGAAATGCTGCATCTTGCGGTGATAGCAAACATTATTATTGCAACACTTTTTAAGCTTCTTGTAAATTAGAGTTTGAGAAAAACGTAAACTGATTGTGGTGCGGGAAACATAGTCCGCAATTATCGCTCCAAAACCAGCGAACTACGTTTTCTCCCCGCAAGCTTGTTGCTAGCGGGTGATGCGTCGGCGCGTCGGCTCGTCTGCTTCCCGGGCGTCTGCAGGCGTACGTTTGCGGGACACGTGTTCCTTCTTCCCGTGGATCCCGACTCCGAAGCCAGCTTTGCGATCTTTCCACGTCAACGAGATAAACCTTTCCTTGTCATCTGTGGAATGCGACTGCGTATTGCAGAAGCAGCGCGACGGTGCAATGCGGCGAACAACAACTGCCGAGCACAAGGTCCGGGCTCCTTGACGACGGTCTGCGCGTGTTCGAGAGATTCCTCCACGGGTCGGCGGTCGCAATGACGCCGGAATCCTTTGCTTGCTATTGGCTGACGCGTAAAGAGATGCCCCTCCCGTTTTCCGAGGTCATCTTAGAAAAGGGGACGTGCCGGGGACTTTGATAGCAACTTTAATCGGGAAATCCGCCGCGCATGACTGTAATTTTATGATTTTTAGGATCCTTAGGGCCTGTAGATTGAGTTACCGCCATAAATATACCATTGCAGAACGCTCCGGAGGGCCCCTTTAATTGAATAGATTTATAATTCTCGTTATATGGAAATGTTCTTTCTTTAAACCATAAATGTGAAGAAAAAAAATTCTGGAATAATGAACGCAAGCTGTCAGGGCGGGGTCTCTGTCTAATATGTTTTCTTGCATAACAGCCACGGCTTAATTTTGAACATTTTACTGCAAAGCAGATATCAACATTCGCAAAATTTCCGTTTCATTCTAACTACACCAGGCACATGCGTGCACCATCCCGCTTTGAAAGTGTACTTTTCTCCCAAGCATGCAATCATGATATTCATACTTTTCCAAATGTTGATCGCGTTGGGTTACCCTGTTGAGTGCGCTTCTCACTGAGCACCACTGCACTGCAGCGAAGCAGCAACCGTGGAAGCAAACTCTGCGGGTGGTGCTCCTCCACAGTGTACCGGTTCTCGGTAAGAAGTGCACTCAATGGAGTAACCCGCCACGATCAACATTTTGAAAAATACAAATGTCGCGGTTCATCTGGAAGCGAATATCAAAACAGTGCATTATTCGAAATTTCGAATATCAAAGCTATGTGCGACCATGTGCTTGTACAACTTGAGCACTGACTAAAGCTGTGTATGCACACCTTTCCCTTCTGACAACAAAAAGTAGTCTCCAAGATGACTGCATTCACAACTTAGTAGCTAGTAACCAAATGCAGCCTTCTTACATTACGAGCTGTCGTTCCCTCTCTTCAGAATTCCACCGCAACTCGTTCAACTCCAAGATTTCTTTGTTCAAAAACTTGTTCTGCACATGGAATGCTGAAACCGCATCCTTGGGAGCCAGAAGATGAAAGACAGCTTATTAATGTCTGCTGCAAGCACACTGTAAGTCACATTCTATGAATGCCATAACGGTGTAATTCACACGGCGGAGTGCTTCTTACATTACGAGAAGGGGGTAAAACGTCATCGAGTTTCAAGCTCACATGTGCCGCCTCACAAGTCTTCACTAATCCCCCGAATCTGGGGGTGGCCGAAAAAGTTCTGTGATCTGCTCACGGAATATTCACACTGCCAGGGCGACCGATCCCCTCTTTTCTTTCGAGGAAGGATTACGGGTGCCTTTCTATTCTTTCCCGTTTTTCAGTTTGATAAGCACTCAAAGGCCACAAGACTCCACAGACTCATCTACATACAACTCCGTTGTGTGAGAAGTCGCTTGGATTTTCTGCCCCACCCCCTCATTCTCTTGGCCTTTCCTCCTTGCAGCCCAAAGACATATTTGGCTTTCTTAACAGAAAAAGATCCATTGCGTAAATAGATCATAAGCCTCCTGTCCAATGCCCAAAATTAACACCAAATCTGTGAAAAAAACACCCAAACTTGGAGAAAAATAAACCCCACAAACATTAAACCCTACTTATAATGTATAGATAGTACTTTCACAGCATCTACTCCGGCTACTTTTGGTACCCCTGGATGGAAAACCTTCACTGATAAAAAAAAACCTTAATTGGAAAAACCTTCATCAGCCAGATATAGTACCAAATGAAAGAATTCTTTTTTTAGAACATGAAAGATATTGTTACTTACCCTCAGTGTTTCTATCTCCTCGACCATTTTTGTTTGTTCAAGCTTAATTGCACTCTCTCCAGCGATCTCCTCTTCTTTCTTTTCGGTCTCAATGTCATACAGCTCGTTAGTAAGCGACATGAGGATCTTGTCTTTCTCCTTGAGCACCTCCTGGTACAGCGAGCTCCGGTCCTTGAGCTCGTCCAGTTCCTTCTCCACAGAGCTGGAAAGTTGTATCACGATTAGCAGATGACCGCAACTCCGCTTGGAAGTACTATACTTCGTTTACCTTACGATGGGCTGCAGACGATGCTACGAGTCATAGAAGACAATCCAATGCCATGTGTGTGTCACTTGACCTTAGGGAAAGACACCGCAAGAGGCATCTAGTCATGTGATACATGAACAGCGCTGGATTGGCTGAAATGGCTCGTAGAATTCGCTGGAGTCCATCGTAAGGAGAAACAAAGTAAAGAATATGCTTAAAAATGACACTGACAAATATCAGCTTTGAAAGGATGCCGAACCGAAATCTGGATTCCACAAAACACGGCGGCAGGAGCGTGCAACAGGATGCTACAAACACCAGAACATCACTCATACAGCGATATCTCAAATGGATGAACATATTTTTCTAAAAAAAAAAAGGAGACGCATTTTACAGATATGTTGACATCTTGTTTCTCCGAGAAGAGTCGAGAAGGAAAGGAAACGGCCTCGCGTCTTCTCCGTCTCGCCGCCTTGAGGGGGTGAAGCGAAGAGAGGAAGGAACCAGATATGTTGACGTCACGCGCCTCGTCAGCCTCGTTCAATCTCAACCTTTTTCCAAAAATATGGCTGTCCATTTGAGATATTGCCTTACGAGTGGTGTTGTAGAGATTGTAGCGTCCCGCCTACCGCTCCTGCATTGCTTTCTGAAATTCAAATTTAAATTCACCATCCCTTTAAACAATGTAGAAAAAAAAAATTTTAAAAATAAGTTGTTGCAGTTAATGTGATGGAGGCAGCTACAATTTCGGTCAAGAGCATACCTTACCAGTCTCCATATTATGCCAAAATTTCAAAATAGTTCAAAGTAAACAAGAAACTAGAAAAAACTATTTTCCACCTAAGCATGCACCAGCTGGAAAGGAGATCGACATGGCCCACAAGCCTATATAAACAATTGGGCAGCTTGTATTATGCCCAAGGAAATGTTTCCTAAAAAGTGAACACAAGATGTTTGCAGAATTCTCTGCACGGACTGTCCAGAGACATATGTCAGCAAAACCAAGAACTTTCAGATGAGGATCCACCAGAACCAACACAATGTCTGCAAGGTTGACCAAAAGTGCTGTGCGGCCGCTGAGCACTACGACGTCAAGGCCCACCGCAGTATCTTTAAGAACATGTACGTGCATCATCGACATCTAAACTAAACCCCGACAGAGACCTTTCTTGGAATCCCTGCTCATTTCAAACCGCAGCAGCTAAATTTAGAGGAGGAAGCTTCTCTGCTAAACACCACAGTGTGATGGACATCATGTGACACTGTGCTGTCTCGCAGCACTGCGACACCTTGAAACGCCTCACGACACTGTGACGTCAAGTGAAACCCCGACATCATGTGATGACGCAATGTCATGCGTCACAACGATTCTCCACGAAACACGCCTGGGGATACATCGTAAAACCTCGCTAATAACGGCCGTCATCGTGAAAATGTTAGAGCTACACAGCCTACAATGTCCCATAGTATTTTGATCCACATAGCCAGGCTACATACTAGAAAGTTAAGCATAGACAGTTATCATGCATCAGTTACACAAGCCGTCACCAATCGGCGGGACGGGCCCTCCGAGCCACCATAGCTGACCTCCAAATTTCATTGTGCCAGTTCTTCCTTCATTTGCAGCCGCCAGTGTGCGACGGGCGATCGCAATGGGACACATAAACAACGTCCGGCGGGTAAACGCGCTCAGTGGTGGCTTTAAAAGACAGCAGTGACCGACGTTAAGGTCAGGAACCACGCCGTGAGCACTAAACATGCCTTCCTAGCGTGCAACGCCGTCGGATCGTCCATGTCTAATGCCAGTTTCGACCATCTAAACCCCATGTCCAAGCTGTACTCATCACTGGAGTTTGTACCAATGTCGCCAATGACGAGTCACACTCGTCCACCCCAATGCTGTGCTACTCTCTGCGCCAAAGACGAGTATAATCGGTACTTGGTTTCAGTTTGTTTTTTTAACACCAGGAGGCAGTAGAAGCCACGAAAAAAAAAAAACATATTTTGCGCCTTTACCGTGTATTTAGCCCCCGGCGTGGCAACGGTGATATAAAAATGGCAGCATGCATGAGGAATGCCGGTGACGGCAATGTCTTCAGAGAAAGAGCCGTTTCTTGCAGTAGTTCGGACAGCAGTGATGCTGAAGACCTCTAATTTGTCTCCCAGAGTGAGTCTGATATTTCTTGTGAATATGAGATGGCTTCAGATGACGACGAGAGCAACATTGACCACAATGACACGCTAGGTAGTGCCCTTGACTGGCAGTGCATAAACACTGAAAACCCGCCACCAGTACGAAGCAATGTCTACGCACTTCACTGTTTGCTATGGTGTGTCGGTTCAAATAAATATGGCGCATTTCAGCACATCATATTCCATTACTCTTGCATGCATGGAGGGAGAGCTGCTCTTAAAAGCAGCCTTTTCTTTATAATCATTTGTGTTAATTCCAACCAGAAACCAATCAAGCAAAACATTTCCAAAATCAGAAATACATAACTACATAAACCCACATAAAAAAATTTGAGAAATTTGGTATGTTTTTCTGGAAATAATTTGGGGGTTAAAGTACCAATTCCCCAGTCAAAAGGAGGTAGAAGAATGGCGTTGACTATGGTTGCTTCGACGCTAATTCGATGGCTGTACCACAAAAGTACTGCCAACTTCGATGGTACAATGGTGTCGGTTAATCGCAAATGGTAAGTTTAATTTACGCACTTTACGCCGGGCACTGGCGGTGGACGTGATATTTAGAAATGCAAGAAGTCGTCGACACGAGGAAATGTCACGCAAGTTTTAGAGATATGTGTGCATAATCTAATGTGCTACAGTAGCCAACAGGACAAGAACGACACGGAATATTTTTCATATTTCTGGCATCCAGCGCATGTTCATTCCCTTCTGCCGTGCATTGGCTGCAAGTGTACAGATTACAGTGATGCGATTGTAGCGTCATTCGCACCAATTTGCTCACCCTGCTACGTCCTGCTACATTTCCGCAAAGTGTGAGAAATTTGTGACAACATTCAGCCCAAACTTAATTCCACTTTATCAATACGAAAACAGATAGCAGCTCAAGCATCGCTACGTGGCCTAATCATTCTGGTAAGCTGATGGAAATTTTCAAAACTTTCGATGATCACTTAGAATAACATAATATTCAGGCCACCTTTTTGTGTTGACAACTCACTCGCAGTCTGATACTAAAAGAACTACGTAGGTTTAAAAATCAATTGAATTGATTAACTGGTGCCACAAAAGACTACAACCCTATGTAATTTCAACTTAGGAAAAAAAACACAAAAATAAAACTCCGGCTGTGGCAGGCACAGCAGAAAACGCACTCCGCTGTCGGAAAACGGGAAGTCAGCTACGGCGGCAAAGTCGTGCGATACCAAGATGGCAGTGCCCATGCAAGGCTGCTGTAGAGCATCTATAGAAGTAATAATCGCCCACCATCTCTTGTGTTGCGTGCTCTCGAGTTGCAGCTTGCACATGTACAGTTCGTTCCTCAGCTCCAGAAGAAGCCGATCCTTGTCGTGAAGCATCTTTGAGTAGTTTTCGTTACTGGAGTTAGCATAGAGCTCGACCCTGAAACGACAGCCAGCAACAAGGGGGAACAATGTTAGCTGCGAAACTATAAAAACAAACCAAGTTCCGCGTCGCAAAATGCATGCCCAATGTAAACGCAAAGAGCAGGAGCTCACAGAGTTTCTCGTTCCGTGTTTGCCAGGTCCAATTGCTGCCTCAGCACCTTGATCACCTCCTTGCTTGCACTCAGCTCGTCCTCTTTGCACTGGAGGTCTTCTCTTAAATTAGATGCCTCTGCTTCCAACTTAATATTGGAAAGAAAAACTGTGTTAACACGGAATTCCATCGTTTACTACATGAGCAAAAAAAATATGTTCACTTTTACAATATTCCTGCATGCACAGCACACAATACCATTGGCCTAGATGTTTGAACCATGGATGCTCGCATCCTTTGTGCATGGCTAAAAAGCCGCTGTCAAAGTTACCAAAATAGAAATGTGCATGAGCAGCATTAACTTGGGAAGTCAAGCATGATTGATTGACCTATTGTTAACTCTAATATATCGAAAACTAGCAAAGCCCTTGTGGAGGAGCAAGATTGTCCAAGCTAAGCTAACCCAAGTTAAGAATCCATATATGCCACTAAAATCCTCAAAACCAGAAGCAAAAATACAAAAATGAGGCATAGGGATAATTAAAAAAAAAAAAAAAGATTAACATAAAAGATGGAGTTGGACCTTAATGCCTGCATGGGACTAATAAAATTGGTTAATGTCGAGCAAGAGCAATTGAGGCACTGGTCCTGCACCCAGGATAAAGATGTTGAGCACTCTGGCAGTACCGCAACGTTGTATGAAACTTTTCTGACGAGACCCTGCTAACAAGTTTATCCGTTCTTTTAATTTTATATGAATAATAAACACAGGGTCTCTCTTTTTCAATGGGTTTAGAAAAAGAAAACTTGCATTAATTTTTTTTACCTCCGAGGCTAAGTTAGTAGCCATGGGGACTACTAGAAAAGAGGAAAATTGAGTGAATTAGCTAGGTAGCTGCCTAAAAGTTTTCATTCATAGCTGCCTAAAAGTTTTTCATTCACTGTTTTCCTTTTTCGTTTTTTGGGCATAATGTAAGTTGGAGAATCGGTGCTCGACCTCATAATGGTCTAGCTGCAACGTGAAATTTGGATAAAAATATTAGAAGTGTGTGCTACAAGGAAAGCAATGCCACCCATGTATGCAGCTTCAAACTGAAATTAAGCGGGCAAAGAGCAGCGCTATCGAAGCCAGCTTAACTTGCAGAACCGGCGAAAGGTGGCAGTATCAAGTCACTGGCAATCTCCCGCACTGTAGGGTGGCGTACAGAAAAGCTTCAAGACTCTCACTAACCTCTTTGCATTTACTGCAGGTGCACTCGTGGAGCTTCCGCAAGAGCGGCGGCCCCGAGGAGAACATATCCGACTCAAGCTTGGGTCTCGTGCGAAAGGAATGTTGCAGCTTCTTCTTGAAGGTCGTGAAGACGGCCGGCGACTTCAGTTTGGTCGGGGACGACGGCACATCCGATCCCTCGTCATCCTCGTACAACTCCTCTGACTCATTCAAGTAGAAATGACTGGAGGCCTCCGCTTTTATTTCTGGAACGATCGACAAGAAGTCTGTTCTCAATATACAAGTCTCTGAGATAGATAGCATATTTGTACAGGCGATTGAAACCCCCAGCACAAAGCACGAAGGATGCCGTAAAGACATCATCATAAAAACGGCGCACGACGGTGAGGAAGAGAAGTGAACACAGAGCACTGCCAGCTACCAGCACTTACCAACTAACTCAACTCCCCACTTTACATGCTGTAAAGTGTGGGGAGAAAATAATTGGTTGTAAGGAGTTTATACGGCGGAAAGCCAGTAAGCCTGAAGATGTGCCATTTCATATTGCCAGTGTAGAGTAACTACCTTGAAGCGTGGATCTTAGATTGCAGTCTTTAACATATGCATCACAGAGTGTCGATTGCATGAGAGCATCGTCGCACAGGTGTTCGTCATGTAAACCATCTGAGTGGGAACTGAAGTCTTAACAAACAGATCTACAGCCCAAGATTTCATTCCACGTGTTTTCGGCGAGGAGGCCATGCTTAACTGATGCAAGAGATATGAGCCTGTTTTGACTTTGTTTACCTAGCTGCTGAACACAGTCTCAAGGAAAAACTAAACGTAAACTGCAGAACTGTATATTCTCATGTCGCTCCTAGTCTTCGTGAATTTAAGGCCATGCAAAATTTCTTGCCACAAATATAAAGTTTAAAGGCCGATTAAAATACACAAACTTTAGCAGCTCTGAATATGTCTACTGTTATGTCTACAATAAAATTTCTTGCCACAAATATAAAGTTTAAAGGCTGATTAAAATACATCAACTTTAGCAGCTCTGAATTTGTCTACTGTTATGCCTACAATAAGCCACATACCACTGCCTCATAGTTCCCTAGGCACCACTGAGAATGCACGTAACTCGCCCTCCCGGACTTCGCACCTACATCCAGAGCTAGAGAGAGTGGGTAACCTGAGCTGCCGGCACAGCAACGCATGTCATGTCACATGTCACGTGGGCAGGTTTCCCAGTCAGTTCGTAATAGAAGAATGAAGTAGTTTATACTCCCCTCAACTTGTTGAATCGCTACTCGCCTCCTGGCATGCACCAAGGGTTAAAGGGAAGATGGGGCACTTCTACATTTGAGAAAAAACGCTTGAATTGCGTTCATTTGACCTTCAGAATAACAGATATCACAATTATATTTCAATGCGACGCACCGGAGAGCCATAAGGGCAATTTGAAAATAGGGCTGAAGCCCCGCCTCCCTAGCCTTGGCAAGCCAAAAGATCCGTCGATGATGTCACGGACAGCGACTGTCTTTCGCGTTTTTCTCGCGTTTAACAATACTTGCGCGGCAAATGGTTTTGGTATTCGGGTTCACGAGGTAGGAATACACTAGAATTCACTTCTAACTCATTTTTTTCAAGAAGCTCCGTAGCTTCCCTTTAACCAGCCCGCAACATAACATTCACAACATGTGATTTCCGACAAATCAAACAAGTAAACATGCACAGTGACAGAACATGGTACAAGCACCGGATAGCAGCACCTGAAAACAACGATGCTTATCACCACTCTGATAACCATTGCAAAAGAAAAGAATGCTTTCAAAAGACCTCTCTCAAGTGCAGTAGATAGTCTTTGAAACACCCAACATTTAAAAACTGCAAACACCTAAAACTGAGGACAAACAGAAAAGAGACAAAACACGTGGAGAGTACATGTTGCAGCCGAGTTCAGTCATTTTTACAGCGATAGCTGTTATAAGGCTTCCCAGCTACATCCGCGGCTTCAGCATTGCACCATGCGGGAAACTCTGTTTCACATGCGCTCGCTTGTGCACCGCCTCACGACAGCGAGCAAACTGCTCGCACTCGGCTTTTGCCAAGCAGCAGTGTCTCCTTAGGTTGGCAGGGGACGCCACTACAGATTCCTCCCAATTGAGCTAGGTGCGAGTATACTATGAGATGTAAAGTAACCCACTACTCCTAACAGTACCTGTCCAGAGTTAGTCTAGGACAGCAATGCTAACTCGAGTATTGTGTTCCCTTTCTACATTCTACACTACCACAAGGCTGCATTGCATGTGATTGAGTAAGTAAAGAGTGGCATTATTACACACAATAAAAGCTGTACCTGTCACTTTCTACATACTGTAACAAAAAGCTGCGAGTTTTTTTTTTTTTTTTTTTTGTAGAATACTGAATGCCTTGTCTCTTTTCTATGCTTCCTTACTCTCCGATTAGGCTAATGCTTGACGTTCACTGGCTCACTTTTAGAGTTCTCCCCTACTAGTCGTAGAAGAAAGCAATCAACAAGACGCAGTAACGCTCACCGTCTGTGCTCTGCGAACGTTGGCGACGTTGGAAGAGTGCTGCCGGGTGCCTGAGGTTTGAGAGGACTGAAAAGGAGTGAGAGGGCGACTGTTGCTGCTGCTGCTGGGCCGTGTGCTCTCCCACCACTGCCGTGGGGCACTCCACGAGAGATAAGAGGAAGCCCTCATGCGGGTCTTCGCCGCCGGCCTCTCCTTTTAGACGCTCCGGCTCTTTCCGCAGAAGTCCACCGGTGACCTGCAAACACGGTGCATGGAACGAACGTTTAGTTGGCGCTTCATAAGTGGGAGCAATTGGTGACACTTCTGTGAAATGCACCGTTTGTGTTCATTTTCAGCTAAAAGAAACTGGGTCTCTTCGTTCTTAAGGTTGGTGCTCCGTTGTTCATTTTGTTCCTGTACAGTTTTTAAGAAGACCGCCGTGTGTGAAACGACCAATATGTCTGAGAGAATGTACTATCAGCACTACATAAGCTTGTACAGTTGTAGCTGAATAAGTTAGCTCGACAAGTTGGTGCATCGCGGACACAATGAGTATACAAAAAAATTAATGGAGGAGACAAAACACAAAGAGCCTCGTGTTCTGACCTGATCCTGGTCTATACCATAGAGCCAAGTTGTACAAAAAGCCTATACAAATATGAAGAATAAGCAGAATCAGCATATGCCTTCTGCTTCGCCTTTTTTATGCATGTAGCCTCTTCACCCTACTATTGTGCCTACACTCGTCAAAGAATTTTCACGGCACATATCAACACTGTGGCAGTTTCGTAAATAGTACTGACTAAGAAGGATAATGTAAACAAAGCTGAATATCTGAAAATAGTTGTTCCTTGTTTAGTTCCTTTTTCCACGAGATTCACTTCAAACAAACTAAGTTGTTTGGCTAGTCCTGATTCATACTCAGATTTGCCAGAGATGTAAGCTTCTTGTCAGAAAGAGATGTTAAAGAACTTCCATAGTAAAATCAAAAAGTCTGGCAGTCGCAAAGTAGAGATCATTCTACACTTGTGGGACTAACCTTCTTGGAAATTATTAATTTACAAGCAGCTCATAAAGGAATAAAAGAAACATCAGCTTTTAGCCAAGTTGCTTTAACATCAAGCCACAACAAACAATAAAGCAGCGTGGAGGCTCTGCACCCGGAAATAGAGCACCCCTCTAGTGGTAAGCTACAATATTTGTAAATACTGCCTAACTGCCTGTCTACCATTGAAATTTGCTTTCAGTCCTATTATTCAATAAAGGTTGCCATTCAGAGTCGTATAGCGTGCAATAATAAAAAAGTGGTACAAATATGTTGGGTGTTCGAACAAACAGCATCCTTGTAGTATATTAAAGGTGCCACTCTGAAGTTATTTTAGTGTTTGCAATTACACATAACAGTCGACAGCCTACTAGCCCAACACACACTTAACAAAATGTGAACACTCCATCATTGAATCACCTGCTAGTAACAACATTTTTTATCCAGAACTAGAAAGACAACAATGAATGGCTGACACCTGACACAAACCTTTAGCAATCACTTACCTCGCTGAAAACAACACAAGTTCAGAAGCCTACTCAAACTAGGTGGGGAAGGGACACAGAAGAAATGCCTCAACTGTTGCCATTCAGCGTTCTTAGAAGACGATTTGAGGCAACTAAGCCTATAAACTTCCAGCTCGTTTGGTGGGGCACGTTGTTATCAGGCGAAGCCCTAATCTTTGCTATCTTGAGCACAGGAATCCAGGTGTAGCTCTGAGTCATAGGCCTATTTTCCTTGGCTTACGCCCAATCTCCACACCCACTTTCAAAACACTTCCTTGTGAGCGAGCTAAACTTTCAGATGATTAAAGCAATCACACAGACATGTGAGACATCTGTGGTATACAGGCCAAATTCATATGGAGTTATCACCCATGTGAACAAAAATTAAATTTTCATCTTTTCACAATCGATTCCATATTTCTGTCAGACCTGAAGTTGTAAAAATCTAGTAACAATAGGAATGCAAACAAAACAAAGGACAACTTTTCTCTCTCGAGTGTGCACAGATATGCTTGCCCCCCCCCCCCCCCCCCCCCCCCCGCCCCCCCCCAAAAAAAAGAATTTATAGTTTTTTTTCACAAAACACAGGACTACACATGCAGTTGGGACGCCTGGCAAAATAATTGTTTTCACCGCAGAGCTAGCCATATCGGCGCAGGAAAACAGACAAGTTTGAATTGAAACAAGAGGACCAGCGCAAGGGACTATGACGTCAGAGGTTCCAGGAGTTACAGGGAGTCACTTCAGTTGTTTCACTCCCCGCAACTAGGAGTCCAAGGTTTCATTTAAATCAACACATATTTTGCTCTCTCAGTGGTCATAAAAACAGGGTTTTATGAATTCTGCCCTTTCCTCAATGAAGAAGTGCCGCAGACAGTTCATCACCTCTCAAACGTCTCAAGTGCTGTGTCATCATCGCATGGAACTGAGGAAAAGAAAGTGAAAGGAAAAGCCCCGAGTGGCTGGCAGGCTGTCGAGCACCAGTTTTCTTTGCAGAAAAACCAACGGATTTGGAGTCGCAAATATTCTTTTTACATGATTTTTTACCCCTTATGGGTTGTGTGCGCTTCTACAGAAACACATTCTGTAAAAATCTATGCATACCTCTACGCCTTATCAGTGTCGTTGCAGTTTCCTACGCGGCCGGTGTATGTAAAAATGTGAAGAATGGGGCAAAAGAAATTGACTGTGCTGTCCATGACTAGGAGAGTGGGGGTGATTGGAATTACCTATATGCATACTACCAAGCCTGCCCCACCACACCCCCTTATGACCAACGTTATTACCGTAACATCCCAAGAGATGGTCCACACCTGAATGATAACCCACCCCTATTTTTGGCACCATTTGCCATTTTTTTAAGGATCAAGGAAAGATAGCCCCCTTCTAGTAATTGCAGGCCCTGGCCAATGGTGACCTCAGCAGAAATGGTGTTACTTAGCCATGACAGGAGATAAGCGAACATTGATGACTGACATTGAGCACTGAGGACAGTCGTCTTTAGTTCATTGCCCCACCCGGCAATTGCAAGTTTCGCAGGTCACAAAATCTAAAAACTGGCGTTTTTTTTTTTTTTACTTTTTTTTTTTTATCACACATTGAAGGTTATCTTACTTCTTATTTTCAATTGATTTGCTTTCAATTTTAGGCGGGCAATCTCTCGGGATATTACAGTAGATCAAAGATGATCAAAGTCGGCTGACAAGCTGCCCTGGAACATCTAGCGCCTTTTCATCGTGCGTCCGCCCGGTGGTGATCACTACGTTATCGATTTACCCTGCAAACAGAAGTAACAGACCCAGTGGCCAGAAATTATCTTCAAGGGGGCCTGAGGTGCCTTGGATGTCCATGACTTGGGGTGCGGGGAAGGAGGTGGTTGGGGGGGGGGGGGGGGGGGGGGGAGCTGAAGCATTATAAGTTTTCCCCAAGGCTACGCCACTGGACTGAACCGATGAAACGTTGGATGCGCATTGTATGTGGTTGATTACGGCTCTAATGCAGTTTTTATGGTGAACAAAAAGTTAGCAGAAAAGTTTGTGCAAAAAGAGTCGTTCAAACATAATCCTTCTCCATTGCATGTGAGAATGATGCTGCTGGCAGTGCTAGTATCGCTATCCGCCCGTACCTGCAAGCATGTGGGCAACGCAAGAGTGTTTTCGAACTATGCTCTGCCATTGAGTTCGTCAACCAAAAGATCAGAGAACACTGCCCACAACTACATTTCGGGGGTGGGATGGGGATAAGTTCCCCCCCGGCCCTGGATGGAGACTCGATTTTAACAGACTATGAAAACATGAACTCCTTATACTGACCTGCGTGCATATGAAATCCGGCATATTTTGCACATAGTTCCAAAGTTTGTAACCTAATCTTGTCGGTTAGCAACTTCTATTTGTATATAAATGGATGGACGGGCAGGTGGATACAACCGAACCCATCACATCGCCACCTACACTATATCTCACCCGTCACACGTAGTGCCATGAAAGCAATGGTTGGGAGAAAGGAAGGAAAGTCGCTTTTGTAGGAATTTTGAGTGGCGGGCTCACTTCCGATGGGGTTAAAAAGCGACGTCTGGAGTGCACAAAAGGGGGTCCGGGTTAGAGGAGAGTCTCCCTCCTTGCCAACTGCCTGCGCTACGCTCTCCCCTCTGTACCTTTTGTAGCCGCCTCCGTGGAAGCGGGCGCTGCTCGTCCCTGACCGTGCCTGCCGTGGGCCACCCGACCACACGGACGAGGAAGGACGAACCCGCCAAACTACCATGACACGACCCTCTGCAGGACCGTATCGTCGCGAGCAAATAAACAGTTCCGTGAGGGATTGTCTGTGACACAATTCCACTCGGAGGCGATCGGGGGAGAGCGTGTAAAACTCCCCGAGGCTAACAATTCCTACAGTATGTTGCAGGTTTACAATACCAGGAGGAGCTCCTCCCGGAAAGACCTCCACTCTTTCCACTTTAGCAGAGAGAATGCTGGAGAGGATGTGAGTGGAAAGGAGGAAACCATGAATCGTGATGAGCAGAAAGCTTTGTGGGAGGGGTTCATCCTACTACTCTTAACTTGCAACAGACTATATAGTGTGGTTATGAATTTAAGGTCTAAATGTTCTAAGGATCAAGCTTGAACAAACATTTCGTAAAATGCCTGTAGATATTGCATAAATTGAAGATGATCTTCAATGTCTACACTACAAGAAAGGCGACACACCGCATGTACTTTTGTGGACGCAGCTACATGAGAAAACACACCTGCTGAGGTGAACAACTGTCCGAGACGCTGCGGCTCTGCTTCAAATTAAGGTTGCGTCTCAGGCTGTATTCTCTGCGAAACCGTTGCAGCTCTTGTAGCCAGTACAGCCCGGCCTGCCGGTCCTTGGCTTCCAAGTGGTAGTCCCGTTGTGGAGTACTGGAGGGGTGCAACGGAAAAGAAACCCTGCTCTGAGAGTCAAAGCAGTGACCTTGCGACAACAGTATTGAGAGAAACGAGGAGCTGGCACATTGTCACCTTTTAGAATTAAAGATCTATATATTACTGTTTAGAAAATTGTTGAATATTTATTTAACTGAGGCTTTTGAACGTAATGACAGGCGTACTTCGCCAACAATCAAGCAGAAGGATTTGCATTCATATACTGAAAAAACTTTGATCCGTTTAGCCTGAATCTCTCCCCTTTGTCACCTTACTAAAATAATGGGTAAATATTAAAATCCTGCGCCTACGACCTAATCGACATAAAACTGCGTCGAGTTACTGCACCTACGGTGGGCAATCCTTCCAAATGTCCCTGTAGGTGAGCCCTTCTGGTTAATAGGAACTCAGACGGAGTATGCAATTTGCTTTTCTATCATTAGTGAGCGCAGAGCAACCGCACTCGCTCTTAAAAAAAAAAAAAAAAAAAACACTGCATCACGAGTGTGACAGAACAATGTGCTAGATCTATCGGGTGTCCGACGCAAATAGACACCAATAATGATCGATCACAAAAGAATTCCAACTTTGGAATCGCAATCTGTACTTTGTGACACTTTAGCGAAAGGACAAAAGAGAAAAGCATTTACGATCGTAAGGCGAAGACCTAACATCAATTCATTTGGTACTCTGCTACGCGCGACAGCAAAACGACGACGCAAAAATGGTTGAGCAAGATCACTCACCGAATCACAAACACGCCCGGTTTCTCCCAGTTGGTCACGTCCAGGTAAAAACTGGCCGATTTCACGTCGATTTCTCCCAACGGATGAACGTCTTGCGGTTCGCGATAGTAGTAAAGCTTGCAGTTGCCCTCGTTGAAGACGAACCAGCGTCTCTTGTACGTCTTCACGAGACTCGTGCTACTCAACTTGTTGAGGAATCCGCAAAGTTGAACGTCGGTCGAGCGTGACGACCGTTGCGGCTGCCGCTGCTCTGTCGACGTGGATTCCGCCGAGCCCGCAGGAGAATCGACGGTCGCTCTGACCGTCGCGCTGTCGGAGTCACCTTTGGCGCTATCCATTTCAGGCGCATGCCGCTCTCCAGACGCACTTTAGCGGCGCAGGTAATTCGAGAACGGCATTTGAGGAGTGTGCGGAAGTGTCCGACGGCGAGTATCGGGAGGCGGAGTTGTCACTTCGTCGCGGTTGTAGGAGGGTTCAGGCCTAGATTCCGCCGGGTTTCCGAGGTTTACCGGTAGGTGTGGTTACCGAGATTATACTACGATACGTCAGGACGAGGTGGTTGACTGATTAGGTTGAGCGGTGCGACGAATTTGGGCTCGACAGGGCTGTCAGAGCGGGACGATCACTCCGATCACCCCCATGTTTACAACCTGAAGCACACGCCCACGTGCTTTGTGGACTGTTAGTTTCGTATTACACATCGCGTTTGTTAGTCTGCATATTTTAAAATCTAAAAAATATACGTTAAATTTTTTGTTGTTTTTTACAATAATATTATTATTTTTATAATGTATAACTTACTTTATATGACCCAAAATATATAACGTTCTCAATCTTGGTTTCGGTTTCGTTTTCATGCGTTCACGCCTGCCGAAAGTTTACCTGAGGCTGACAAGGTGTTCTGAGAATGATCTAGGGTTGATTTGATAACCAAAAGTTAACTATTTTGAAATTCTTTGAATACTTAAATTATGAAGCGAACAATACCGAATAAATAAACATGTGTTGTTCAGTACGCATTGTATACGCATTGTACAGGGTGTCCCCGAAAACAATTTGCAGGGTTGATTGCACCGAAAAAATGAGCTACGCATCGCCGAACGCTCATTCTCCGCCAAAAGATAGCGCTATTGGTCCGAACAAGATGTCAAAGTTTTAGCAGGAACCGATATGTTATTCAAAAGTTATTAATGATTTTCTGAAAATTTCAATGGGAAAATGGTGGCCGACAGAGCTCTATGGCGCGGGAAACCGAAAACGGGCAAAAATGGACCTTATTTTCCTATTGAACTTTTCATGAAATCATTTATAACTTTTGAATAAAATATCGGTTCATGCTGAAACTGGTTCGGACCTCTAGTGCTACATTTGGGTGGAGAATGAGCGTTTAGCGATGCAAAGTTTAATTTAATTTAGTTTAACAACAAAATGTGTATTTTTTCTTGACCCGGGGGGGGGGGGGGGGGGGGGGGGGGGGGCACGCTTAATAAAATGAAACAAACTCGAATGTTTCTTTCATTTTATGTTGATTTTTTACGACACCATACACTCAGCCGTGTCAATCTAAAAATATTTTACCACACAGGATAGCCTATAAATTCATTGGTATCCTTCGCTCCCAACATGAAATTCAACGAGTGTCAGCAATCTAACAACATATTGTACGTACCCCATGGCGCGGCGTTATCCGAACAGGATTTGAGAAAGGTCTCAAATAAAAGCATATCCAATATATGTGCTGACGACAGTCACTTCCCAACGATTGGACGGAATCCGGCTTGTTTTGGGGCACGTTTTGAAGAGAGCTGCGTTTTTGCACAGCATCAAAGCAAATGAACGACCCCGGACCCGACCCTATCAGCTATGTTTCGCGAAAACCGGGAACATAGCCGGGAAGGCTTTTCGGAGATTATTTCGACGCAAACAATCCACGAAGAACGTCGAACGGCCCGCGACGCGGCCTGCTTGACGTTCGCTCTCTTTGTTCGTTTCCTGCGAAGGCCGAGCAGGCACAGTGGAAGATAACACACATACACAAAAAGTGTAAGATGCCTAAAGTGGAAAATAAAGTAGTAACTTTCAAGAAAAGCCGGCAAACTCAGAATGCACAATGCAGTTGGAGAGTCGCGCTGACCGGGTTTCCACAGCTTAGGCGAGTTGCCGAAATTTCTGGCTGATAGGGGTCGCTCGAGTCTCAAAATGGCGGCGGCCAGAGAGCTCTTTTTGCAAAGAGCAAGTCGTCTGCTTCTTGCGCAGGAGTTGCGGTGACGTCAGAACGACGCCGCGCTTTGATTGGCTTTGACTGAAATAATAGTGGGTAGATTTCAGTGTTAGATGCCTTGAGGTTTACCCACAATTTTTTATATCAGCCAATAAGAGCTTGGCGCCCTGACATCATCACAACCCCTCTGCAAGTAGCAGACAAACTTGCGATCCGCATATCTGTCGTCCGAAACGTAAAGTGCCTTGCATAAGGACTCTAGTGATTGGCCGAACTTTTGACGAATCGAAAATTCGGCGCCGAATCTTGGGATTTGGCAGTGTCGAACTTTTTCCAACTTTTCTAAAGATTCGGCAAAAATAATTAAGGTTTTATGCTGTTTTTTTTTTTTTTTTTTTTTTTTTTTTTCTTAACTTAAATGCAACATGTAATGCATATGGACACAATTATTACTAAATAGGGTGATATTCTAGGGGGATGGATCGGTGGCCGAGTGTGCTTGCGCACTCCAGCTGAACATGTGAAACGAAAGCTCGCGCTTCAGAACCCAGGGGTGCTATGTTGCGCTTTTTGGACTCCCAGGAGACCAGGGAGAAGGAAGTGACGTGAACGACACAGCAAACGCAGATTGGATGTTGACAGAAGAAAACGAAATCAACACCCAATCTGCGTTTGCTGTGTCGTTGACGTCACTTCCTTCTCCCTAGTCTCCTGGGAGTCCAAAAAGCGCAACATAGCACCCCAGGGATCCCCGGGTTCAATCCCCGTTTCGATCTGGATGAGCATCGTACCGGCGTGCGGTCGTGTATTACTACTGTTTGGTGCGCGTTAAAGACCCCAGGCTAGTGGTTGCATAGTACACTGGCTAAATTGCTCATCTACAGCTGGGAGACAAGTCGCCCGTTGAGGCAGACTAAGTTCTAGGCTGTATAAACATACACACAAACCAATTTCTTTAAGTGATATTCTACAAGATAATTATAACGGTGTCGTGTTTGTGTGTTTACTGGCAATTTTACAGTTACTTTTTGCAGAAGTGGCGTGACCACGAGGCTGGGTTTTATCACGAATCACGATACGAGAATTTGGG